AAGTGTAGTATTGGGACGCAAACTCAAAATGGAATAAATTCCAACTCTATATCTGACAGGTGTCTTCTTCTTTTTAAGCCCATAACCATGTGTGTGAGGTGTATACTTCTGTTTCAAAGTAGATTGGTTTAAGACTACCAAGAAACACTCTGTGTGACCCTGATTTAGCCGACTGCAGTAAAAGGTTATTAACTTCATCACAGTGATTATGGGTCATGAATGTGTGTTCCATGTGTTAAGACTTTGTTTGGTGCTATCATTATCATGGCAGGAGAGTGACAGCCATAAACAGACAGACAGGCAGAGAGGGAGAGAGAGAGAAAGGACCCAAACAAATGGGTAAGATAGTGAGAATGCCTCTCCAAGCCTATAAAGTTCATAGACTAATGATCTATAATAGTGTGAATCAATCTGTATTATCATATGAAAATGTATGCACTCACTAACTGTAAGTCGCTCTGGATAAGAGCGTCTGCTAAATGACTAAAATGTAAATGTAAATCTATGCTGAAATGATAGCAGCTTAAGTCTAGAGGGTGTATTGCATGTGAGTCTAGAGGGTGTATTGCAGGAGAGAGGCAGCCATTATGATATTTTATTTTTGATAATTGTGAGTGGAGATTGATTAATTTCAGTTTGACCTTTCATGCCTACTGTTTTTAACTGTGTATGTTGCTGGTTGTTATTACAGTATAATGTATTATAAGTTGAACATATAGCAGTAGTAGCAACAATCTGACATAGGGGAAGTGAGAAAAATACTAGGAAATTAATCATATAGCAGCAGAGAAAGAGTACAAAACGGTTGTTTAATTGAATATATCCACTTAACAGTCACATTGGTATGAATGGCCATGGCCCTAATAAAATACCAAAAAATACCTAACACTTATTGGACTGTACCAGAGTAAGTACCCCTCTCCAAGGTCCTCTTAGCCTTGTAAATTTGCCCATTTGTAAGCTAAGATTTATCTGTATCCTTTTCTCAAAAGTCACTAGAAATTAGCATTTAAAACCTGCTTTTTTTTAATCGAGGGGACCTAGTGCTGTTGCAGTGACCTTATTACCGCCACACTGGTGGTCACGAGTCATGAAGGCAGTCAAATTCCATGTGGCCGTTTAGTAATTAGGCTTCTCCAACCTCTGATGCTGCTGATAGTCATTAGTAGCCTACCAAACTTGCTAACTGCCTGGTACTCAGCACTCTATTGTCCCTCTAATCACACTGACATCAATGCAAATGTATTCAAAAATCTAATCAAACACTTAATGAGAGCCCATGAGCTCATGTTGTGCAACATTTCTATAGGCTATGCAATTGCGAGAGAAAACAGAGTGATGGCCTCTATTAAAAAGAGGAGGATCCCATCAGCTTTCTATAGGCTAGGCCTACTATATTTATTTCTCAACTTTCCTAATATTAACAACATTGCTTCTCTTTACAACCACGGGTTGTATTTAAGTGCATAGATTACATGTATTTTTGAGAGACAGGTGCATGATAATGGTCCATTCTAAATCAAAACAAATTTCACACATATATTATTTAGTATATGTAAAGACAAGATTAAATCAAGACCAGTCTGATGGGTGACAATATTAGCCTATCACTTGTGAATTATATACAGTGGGGGAAAAAAGTATTTAGTCAGCCACCAATTGTGCAAGTTCTCCCACTTAAAAAGATGAGAGAGGCCTGTAATTTTCATCATAGGTACACGTCAACAATGACAGACAAATTGAGAAAAAAAAATCCAGAAAATCACATTGTAGGATTTTTAATGAATTTATTTGCAAATGAAAATAAGTATTTGGTCACCTACAAACAAACAAGATATCTGGCTCTCACAGACCTGTAACTTCTTCTTTAAGAGGCTCCTCTGTCCTCCACTCGTTACCTGTATTAATGGCACTTGTTTGAACTTGTTATCAGTATAAAAGACACCTGTCCACAACCTCAAACAGTCACACTCCAAACTCCACTATGGCCAAGACCAAAGAGCTGTCAAAGGACACCAGAAACAAAATTGTAGACCTGCACCAGGCTGGAAAGACTGAATCTGCAATAGGTAAGCAGCTTGGTTTGAAGAAATGAACTGTGGGAGCAATTATTAGGAAATGGAAGACATACAAGACCACTGATAATCTCCCTCGATCTGGGGCTCCACGCAAGATCTCACCCCGTGGGGTCAAAATGATCACAAGAACGGTGAGCAAAAATCCTAGAACCACACGGGGGGACCTAGTGAATGACCTGCAGAGAGCTGGGACCAAAGTAACAAAGCCTACCATCAGTAACACACTACGCCGCCAGGGACTTAAATCCTGCAGTGCCAGACGTGTCCCCCTGCTTAAGCCAGTACATGTCCAGGCCCGTCTGAAGTTTGCTAGAGTGCATATGGATGATCCAGAAGAGGATTGGGAGAATGTCATATGGTCAGATGAAACCAAAATATAACTTTTTGGTAAAAACTCAACTTGTCGTGTTTGGAGGACAAAGAATGCTGAGTTGCATCCAAAGAACACCATACCTACTGTGAAGCATGGGGGTGGAAACATCATGCTTTGGGGCTGTTTTTCTGCAAAGGGACCAGGACGACTGATCCGTGTAAAGGAAAGAATGAATGGGGCCATGTATCGTGAGATTTTGAGTGAAAACCTCCTTCCATCAGCAAGGGCATTGAAGATGAAACGTGGCTGGGTCTTTCAGCATGACAATGATCCCAAACACACCGCCCGGGCAACGAAGGAGTGGCTTCGTAAGAAGCATTTCAAGGTCCTGGAGTGGCCTAGCCAGTCTCCAGATCTCAACCCCATAGAAAATCTTTGGAGGGAGTTGAAAGTCCGTGTTGCCCAGCGACAGCCCCAAAACATCACTGCTCTAGAGGAGATCTGCATGGAGGAATGGGCCAAAATATCAGCAACAGTGTGTGAAAACCTTGTGAAGACTTACAGAAAACGTTTGACCTGTGTCATTGCCAACAAAGGGTATATAACAAAGTATTGAGAAACTTTTGTTATTGACCAAATACTTATTTTCCACCATAATTTGCAAATAAATTCATAAAAAATCCTACAATGTGATTTTCTGGATTTTCTTTTCTCATTTTGTCTGTCATAGTTGACGTGTACCTATGATGAAAATTACAGGCCTCTCTCATCTTTTTAATTGGGAGAACTTGCACAATTGTTGGCTGACTAAATACTTTTTTTCCCCACTGTATTATCACTTGTGAATGATGCCCAGCGTAAGACAAGAAACAATGCCTTGTTTTTGCGACTTTTTTGAATCATATAGTTGCACACCTCATGTAGCCTTGCCTATAGGCCTATATGTTTTGATAAGGTTTGTATCACAACTAAAGTGGCCAAATAACTTCTTAAAATTAAGCACATTAATCCGCTTTTCAAGGTGTGTCGAGCATAACTGGCAAACATAAGCAGCGCGTGAGTTTCAAGTTTGGGGAAGATCATTTTCACCATAAAAATGCACCTTTATAATAAAAGCATTACATGCATAATCGCATTTGTGGTCACTTTTGATAATGATGTTTTCCGCTAATGGAACATTCACGCTTATAGCCTACTGCCGTGTGTGCATTGCTGCGCTTATAATGTGAAGAAATAGCCTAATAGTTTATCACATTTTAAGCTAAACGTTCTGATCTGTTGCATCAGCCTAATTGCATTGCTAGTTGTATTCATTTGGGATCTATCGCATCCCACAACTGTCCCAGACTATGTTTGGAATATTTATTTCTCACACAGAACAGAATAGGTCAACTTTTATACTATGGGGGATAGAAGATTGACATAGGCAAGTGCTTTTGCTGTTCGTTAGGCCTACTCATCTTGTTGGCAGATGAAAAGTACATTTGGACAGTTCTTCCAATATCTTCACCTCAGAATTGGATAAGGACGCGTGCAGTTGCGTCCCCGAAGTGTCTGTCTTCACTTGTAGCCTGTGAGAAAGACTTGATCACGTGATGGAGAGCCATGTGAATGAGAGGTGCTTCGAAGCATGCAGCAATCAGGGAGAAGGGAACAACGGCCACTGGATTACGATCTTGTCTCATCGCTGTAACTCCCCAGCCAGCTCGGGAGAGGCGAAGGTCGAGTCATGCGTCCTCCGAAACATGACCCGCCAAACTTCACTTCTTAACACCCGTTTGCTTAACCCCGAAGCCAGCCACACCAATGTGTCAGAGGAAACACCATTCAACTGACGACCGAAGTCAGCCTGCAGGCGCCCGCCCCGCCCCAAGGAGTGGCTAGAGCGCGATGAGCCAAGTAAAGCCCCCCCGGCCAAACCCTCCCCTAACCCGGGCGATGCTAGGCCAATTGTGCGCCGCCATATGGGACTCCAGGTCACGGCCGGTAATGACACAGCCTGGGATCGAACCTCAGGCTGTAGTGACGCCGCAACACTGTGATGCAGTGCCTTAGACCGCTGCGCCACTCGGGAGACCTGGCTTTGATTTTTTTAGGGTGCATTACGGCCACACAAAGGGGATGTCGTCGGGAAATTCGAGGCATTATCAAGTGCTTGTCAAATTGTGAATGAGAGACTGATGAAATATGTACAGCCTGGGCAAAAAAACTAAGCAGAGCTCATGCCTTTCAAGCAACTTTTTTCAAATCATGGATTTATTAGACTTTTTTAAATGTAGATGTTCCAAAGGTCTGCATCAGTGGCTTGTAGGCTATGTGTGGAAGCCAGGAGATGCTAAATGTGTTTATGTTCATTAACGGTCAATTACTGTGAGACCGACAGTTATTTGCTTGACAATCACCGGCTGACTAAATTTTGTGACCGCCATAGCCCCCTCCAATGTCAGAGTCTCTCCTTTGCCCCTGCACAGGAGTATGACTCTGTAGTTGGGCTTCATTGGCCAGTCAACATAAACCGAGAACCATGCAGTAACATGAGTACCATTTTGGATCCAAAGCTCCAGGACAATCACATTCTTTCAAAAATCCCCATGAGAATGTTATTGTCATTAGAAGTTTGGCTCGAACATGGAGGACAGTTTCCAGACAGAGTAGTTAGGTACAGTAGACTTACGGATGCAGGGGCGGAGTGGGGAGTGCCCCTGTTTGTAACCGGGGGCGCAGCGGTTGCACCTCAGTCCCGTCACGCCATCCCGACACAGACACTGTCCCGATGTCTGGTTACACCAGAGACCCACAGCACCCATAGGGTGACACTGACACGCTGAGAGAGTGGGAGAAGATGGAGGGATGGGAGGAGAGAGAGAAGGTTAATGTCACATAGTAAAGAGTTTTGTATTAATAACATTGGATTGCTCCTAATAAAGCTTATTTTAATTTAAAAGAGGGAAAGAGAGAGAAGAACAGGAGAGAGGGAGAGAGAGATTACAAACACAGAGAGAGGGAAAGATGAAGGGAAAACAGACTGAAGAGGACAGAAAAAGGAATGGTAGATGGGAATGATAAGAATGATAAATGGACAAAGCAAATATGGAAATAGATGTAAAATGATAAATGACTAAGCAGTTTAGAAGGAAGGAGGGTGGAAGGCAGAGTTGGGGTTGTCCAAAGGGCACAGATAGAAAGAGGAAGCCATTCTCTAGTAGGTCTGTTTTTCCTCCAGTAAGATAGTTTAAACAAACCCTTACAGCTACTTCAAACACATTTAAGTAATTAGCTCAAAAGGCAGGTCACTAAGGTATAAATCACAAGGCTCGGAAAAATATTGACTTGACCAGAACATTGATCAAATAAACATTATTCATTAATCTATCATTGATGATTAAATCACATAATATTATGACACATAAATAGCACTAATGTAACTTCCATAAGTTACAAATCTATGGCCTACAAATACACTGAGTGTACAAAACATTAAGAACATCTTCCTAATATTGAGTTGCACCCCCCTCCTTTTTGCCATCAGAACAGTCTCAAAATGTTGACTCCAATGCTTCCCACAGTTGTGTCAAGTTGGCTGGATGTCCTTTGGGTGGTGGACCATTCTTGATACACACGGGAAACTGTTGAGCGTGAAAAACACAGCAGCGTTTCAGTTCTTGACACAAACCGGTTCGCCTGGCACCTACTACCATACCCCATTCAAAGGCACATAAATATTTTGTCTTGCCCATTCACCCTCTGAATGGCACACATATACAATCCATGTCTCAATTGTCTCAAGGCTTAAAAATCCTTCTTTAACCTGTCTCCTCCCCTTCATCTACACTGATTGAAGTGGATTTAACAAGTGACATCAATAAGGGATCATAGCTTTCACCTGTACATATGTTTTCACTGTTTAGAAATGAAAGCACTTTATGTTTCTAGTCCCCCCATTTGAAGATGTCATAAGTATTTGGACAAAATTCATTTATAGTGTATTTAAGTAGTCAAAAGTTGAATAATTGGTCCCATATTCCTAGCGCGCAATGACTACATCAAGCTTGTGACTCTACACACTCGTTGGATGCATTTGCAGTTTTGGTTGTGTTTTGGGTTATGTTTTGCCCAATAGTACCTGAATGGTGAATAATGACTGGAATAAGATACAGTTTTTTTCGGAACATGATAATGCCATGGTTAAGAAAAATCGTGAATGAATCATGAATAATGATGAGTGAGAAAGTTACAGAGGCTACAACAAAACATGCTAACCTCTCACCATTACCAATAACAGCAGAGATTAGCATTTTTTGGGTGGGGTATGATATTTTCCCCTCTGTAACTTTCAAATGTTTTATCATTCACAATTCATTCATGATTATCTGTAATGATTATTCATGATTATCTGTGGATGCTACCTACATTAATGTAGACGAGTTCAGAAGCATTTTCTATTCTTACTTATAATAAAAGGGACTACAAAAGGACACAATACATTATTCATTATTCATTTCCTTTTGGGCAAAAGACAATCTGAAACACAACCAAAACAAGCTTGATGTGGTCATTGTGTGCAAGGAATATGGGACTAAATATTACACTTTTGATACACTATAAGTGAAATGTGTCCAAATACATTTTACATCTTCAAATGGGGGGGACCAGATACATAAAGTTATTTCATTTCTAAACGGTAAAACTGATATCTATGAAAATAACCTCAAATAAAATGTGACATTCTGTAATGTCGCCAATATAAAACATTTGATCTCAAATCCAAAATGCTGGAGTATAGAGACACATTTTAAGTGTATTTATGGCCTGGTTGCTAGTCTGTTTCTGCTCTCTTGCCAACTCCTTGTTACTCAAGTCAAACATAACATGACAATTCATAAGGAGTTGGCAAGAGCTGAAAGAGACTATATATATTTACAAACAAAAAAAATCTAAAAATCTATTTATACTAAAACAACTAAAAAATATATATAAAATAAAAGAGCTGAACGAGACTGGCACCAAGGCTAAAATATCTAAATGTAATCTATCTAGTTACATTTGTCCAATATTGCTATAACTGCAACCCCCTTGCACTTGCACGACACACACAGTCAATCCCACACACACACCTGCATGTGTCATGTGCATGACCTCCATTAACAGTGGTTATATTAGGACTTCGGTCAACCGCCCAATGAGCATGCCAGAGTGTCACAGTCACTTAGAACATGTGACCAGTCAAAGGTCAAATGTCAGGGTGGATTCCAGCCAGTGGTAACAGGGTATGTTTGTACCACTAACAGAAATAACTGTCCTCTGTCACAATGTAACTACCTCATAAACACTGTGGAGGAGACTGGAACACAGACACATGTAGGCATACCTTATAGACTAGCAGATACACAAAGAGAAACAGATATCCTAACAGATGCAGATGCACACACATTTGGACACACTGATCTCTGCATGGATAAGATACACAGCTGGTCGGTGCGATTTAATACAGACACAACCGCTTTAATGTGTACGCATGCAGACGCACGCACACACGCATGCGCGCACACAAGCTTTCTCTTCCTCTCTCTGACTGACGTTGGCAGGCCTTGCGATGGGTGGGGGGCTTGCTGTGGTCTCGGGTGTATCCGTTCTGGCAGTACTGGCAGTGGCGCCCCGCTGTGTGATGCCGACACTTCAGACACACTCCCCCGCTGTGCCGGCCCGACTGCTGGAACACCTCCATGCTGAACCGACACTTAGAGGAGTGGCTGTTACACTCACACACTGGGGGTTGAGGGAGGGAGGGAGGGAGGGAGAGAGAGAGGGAGGGAATTTCAGTAAAGGCAGTAAAATATACATCCATAATCCAATATGCACACACATACATACACACACAGACAGGCAGTAATGGGGTGTGTGACTCACGGACGCACGGTTGTGGCTGACTGGGTGTGGCTCGTTGCCAGGGCCTGTCGTAGTAGAAGTCCTCACAAACATCGCAGTCCGCCCCTGCCGTGTGGTGCTCACACACACACACCGCCCGGCCTGCATCGTCACGACGACACCGAGAGGCATGTCCGTTACACTTACATCTGCCCCCCACCTGCAGGTCGGAGAGGGCCAGGGGGGACAGGACAAGGGGGGCGGAGATCAGTGGAGAGGGAGGAGCCAGCTCGAGTTTCCGATTCGCTCTCACTTCAGAGTTTCGATGGTTGTTCCTTCTCCTCCGGAGTTCCCGCCCCTTGTTGATTCTCCCCTGCCTGCTTTCGATTGTCCAACCACAGACACTGCCTTCCTGACACGGACTCCAATGGTGGCCCCCCTCCCTCTCGAGGCCACGCCCTTTTCCTTTACCGTTTCCTCTTTTGGAGGTGTCCATTTCTGGAGAGTCTCCTTCTGACTCCTTCCGGGTCACGTTGTGTCCGTCCTCTCCCTGATCCCCAGACCCTTTGTTGTGTCCTCCTCCACTCCTCCTTCGTTTTTCTATCTTTTTTCTCTCCTTCTCCGCAAACCCCCATTTATTGTTGTCCCCATTCACCTTATCCCCATGACCCACCACAGCCTCATTTTTCGACCCTGCCCTCCACCTAAGAAACCCCCCCACCTGCTCCCTCCCCCTGACCGGCCTCACCCCTCTCCCCCTCCGAACTCCCCACCTTGGACTGCTGGGACTGGGTCACCTGGTGGAACACCACCCGTATGTCCGTGGCCGTCACCCAGTCCTGCAGGGTGGGGCTGTAGTCAAAGTCTGGAGAGGAGGGCCTTCCATCCAGGGTGGAGAAGGCCAGCAACATGCCTCCCCGGTGCCTCTGCAGGGGCCGAGGGTCTGAGCACAGAGGCTCTGTCTCCTGGTGCCTGGTCTGGGCTACCGTCTGGGCCTGTAGCCCAAACCTCCCGGGGCAGTCGCTGGAGTAGTGTTGCATGGGCCTCCAGGTGCGCCCGTGGTCCATGGACTTCAGCACGGATAAGGAGATGGGGTCCGACGGCTCCCCCTGCTGGCAGAACTGCAGGCTGATGTAGGTGACCTCAAAGCGCCGGCCCAGGTGAAGGGTGAGGACCCAGTCCCCGCCGTCGGGGCCTCCCGCCTGGGCCGTCCAGCAAGTCAGGTTGTGGGGGTTGTGGAGGTCCGTGAGGGAGCTGACGTTAACAGCGTTCTGGCCGGGTGTTCCTCGGAAGGAGTGGGCGGCACTGACGGGGACACCATAGGCGGCATTGATGAATTCTGACAGGCAGTGACGCGGACGCCCATCCAAGTGGTAGCAGGGGTCATGGGGTGAGGTCCAGCTCAGAGGGGAGTGAGAGAGGGAAGGGGAAAGGAGGGAAGGAGGGAGGAAAGGGAGGAGAAGAAGGATAAAAGGGAGGGACAAGGAGGGGAGAGAGGAGAAGGGCAGGAACATCATGTCACCGAGCCTGTGGGAGAAAATAAAAAAAGAAACGATTTTAGGGGATAAAGCGAAGGGGTGAAATCATTAAATAAAAAGATATGGATGGATTTATATGACTTGCGGTTGGAGCCCTTAAACAGGCCTATTTCTTTACCCACGACAGTCCTTTAAAAACCTATTATCTTTACATTGACCTGGCCCATGAAGAGTGGATGAGTGTAAGGATGAAAGCATATAGAAACCCAGCCCATAAGTCGTGCTTGAGTGTATGGATAAAAGCGTGTATGGATGAGAGCGTATGCAGAGTGGACGAGTGTAAGGATGAGATGGATGAAAGCATACAGAAAACCAGCGGGGCTGTACGGAATGACAAAAAACAGCTGGGTCTGAAAGCTGGGCAGCATCCATCATCTTTATGGTCCTCCTTTCAAATCCTTCTACTGCCACTCTGCTCCACTCCACTCTACTCTACTCAACGCACATGCGCAGGAAAGGAGAGAGAGAGAGGGTGTGAGAAAGACAGACAAAAAGAGGGGAAGGAAGGAAAGATGGAGCTTAGTGTGGAAGATGGCGGGAAAGATTTATAGAAGAGAACGTGAGAAATGTGTGTTCGGCTTAAACCCCTGTACAGTCACTTCCTGTGAGAAGACAAATACGGACTTGTGTATGTCCACGGTGTGAACAGATTCCCTTCTCTCCTAAAAAGGCTGTTGATGTGTTAATGTATTTGACTGTCAAAAATTGATAGCGATACCAGAGAAGGTTACTTCATTTGCGCCTGCAGACATGGGCGAACAATGCGTCTACTTTTCCTGACAACATGATCTACAACATACTTTGCAGTTTTATGGACATGGGCTGAGGGCAAGCAAGACTCCTACCCAAACAAAAACAAAGATACGAGGGAGGAATGAGCAGAGAGAGAAGAGACGGCGGAGAGAGCGAGAGGAGAGAAGAGAGAGAGAGAGAGAGAGAGAAGAGAGAGGCGAGAGAGAGAGAGAGAGAGAGAGAGATAGAGAGGAGAGAGAGAGAGAGAGAGCTAGAGAGGAGATAGAGAGAAGAGAGAGAGAGTAGAGGAGAAGCGATAGAAGAGAGAGCGGAGAGAGAGAGAGAGATAGGAATAGAGTTTCTAGAGATAGATAGATCGATAGCTCTCGATCATCGAGCTCTCTCTTTCTATCTCTCTCTCTCTCTCTTCTGCTCTCTCTCTCTCTCTCTCTCTCTCTCTCTTCTCTCTCTCTTCTCTCTCTCAATCTTATTTTACTGCGTCTAGATTGATGATGTCCTAACAAGCGTTTGACACTGACAGCGCAGTCAGCGGGGCTGTATAAACGAACCCCATAGGAGAGGATAGAAAAACGGTTGGGAGCCACCCAGGGCTAGTCATCCCACTCAATTAAACCACAGCCGAAACTTGAGGCTTCTCTTAGGGCCACAGCGCTATAAGTGGCTGGAGGGGGGGATTACAACGGAAGTTATTACTCAAGTCACCCCCCAAAACAAGTTCCCTGTGAGCCCCCCAAAAAGCAGACTGTCCCAACCTGGCTCTGTTGGTTCGGGCGGATGATGAGGCTTATCATGTATACCGGGCGGCTATGTTTTGGGGTGTCGTTATTGGAAACGCCACGACCGGCGGCTGAGGTGACGAGTGGTCTGACTGCAGCCCCTGTCCCGCCGCGACGCATTCCGGGGGTCCGGTGTGCACCCCTTGAGCATTCCACACGTGTTGCAACATGCCCCGCTGGGAACCCGAACAGCCCGCTAAAAACTGAGCCTCATTAATTTATCGACTGATTAATTAGGTCTCGGGTTTCATATCGACGTCAGGGTGGAGGGTTTCGCTTGAGGGGAGAAGGGGGAGGCGAGAGTGGGAGAGGGGATGTCTGGTACAGTATAATCAGGGGAAGAGATGGTATAAGGAGGTAAAGATGGTGGTGGGGTGGTGGGTTAGGGGAATTCATGGAAAGATTCTTAAAAGGGTGATGGGGTGATGTCTGAGAAATTCAGACAAGATACTGTTGGTGGGTAGGACCGTAAGGGGTTAAGGGGGGTTAGGATACAGCGGCGAGGGGGTTGTTTGCTATTCCCCATTACGTTATTTGCACTCGTCTTTCTCTGTAACATTACCACTAATTAAACATAGCCCCCATTACAAACTACATGATGGATGGAAGCTTTTCATAGAGGAGCACTCAGCACAGAGCTCTTTAAAGTGCCCCTCACCACTCTCTGTCCCCCCAGGCCAAATACAGACCCTTACCCCCCTCACCACTCTCCGCTCCGAAACCAGATCTCCAGTCTGGCACCTGGGATGTAACCCAGCCACCAGATATCGTTTCAATGGTTTTTCTCAGTCGCTTTCCATAAATTCACACACCCGGCATGTCGGAAGAACACGGTGGATGAGTGGCATTCCTCTTTAATAGAGCTTTAAAGACGAGAAGAAGAAAGGAAAAACATTCATATCCCACATATTGTACAACATACAGGTAACTGCCAAAATAAAGGAAACACCATCATAAAGTGTCTTAATAGGGCGTTGGGCCACCACGAGCCAGAACAGCTTCAATGCACTTTGGCATAGAATCTACAAGTGTCTGGAAGTGGAACTCTATTGGAAGGATGAGATACCATTCTTCCACAAGAAATTCCATAATTTGGTGTTTTGTTGACGGTGGTGGAAAACGCTGTCTCAGGCACAGCTCCAGAATCTTCCATAAGTGTTCAATTGGGTTGAGATCTGGTGACTGAGATGGCCATGGCATATGGTTTACATCGTTTTCATGCTCATCAAACCATTCAGTGACCACTAGTGCCCTGTGGATGGGGGCATTGTCATCTTATGGGGGCATAGACATGGTAGCCAAAATAATGGCCTGCCCAGCACTTTTATACATGACCCTAAGCATGATGGGACGTTAACTGCTTATTTAACTCAGGAACCACACCTGTGTGGAAGCACCTGCTTTCAATATACTTTGTATCCCTCATTTACTCAAGTGTTTCCATTATTTTGGCAATTACCTGTATAGGCATATCCTTTACAATAACTTATCATGGAGAATCACATAAATAACGGTTTTCCAGAGTAAATATGAACCGATCACGGATATTGAATACTCTTTTGCGCTTACATCACATATATGCTAAAGTATCAAAATGATTTGTCAGCAAGGTTTTCGATAACTATGATATAACTTTTCAAAAACCTTACATAAGCGAATTGTGTTTAAGTAAGGTCAATGATATCTCTGGTGGGAGGCAGTATGCATGGTCTTTAAAAGCTGCAGCGGTCAGTGTGCTCAGCTATGCTTGGCTGGCAAAGGCCTGGAAAAATACTTGATGACAACCTGGGCCATGTTTACAGCATAGTCTAACATTGTGGGAGCTAGCTAACAGGAGAGCCTTCTGCTCATGTTCTCACAGTAAGCCTTCTGTAGCGGTCTGCTTGCTCTAAGACGCTTTGTATGACCTTTCATTTCTTTATACTTGTGTGTTCAATGAGTTGTCATAGGGCCAAAGGTGTGAGGAGTTTCAAAAGTAGCGCTTTGGGTTCAATCAGTCTGCTCTGTAAAATCCCACCACTGCCACCAATTGTTCAAATTCTTTCCTGCTGTATATTCTGTCAACGTGTGGGGAGGTTGTGCTTTGGGGTTCGGATAATAAGAAGATATACTAGGTGTACTAAGGGAGAGATGAGATTGGATACCAGGCTGTAAGATAGGCTTATGAGCGTGGCAATAGGGGTGAAAGAAGTGGCATAAGACAGAGCGAGTATAAGGGTGCTTAGACAGGGATATCATTATAGAGGGTGGTAAGAAATGTGTAAGAAGGTGATAAAAGGGGGCAATAAGTGGAGGGTACGAGAGTAAGACGTTGACATATTAAAGATAATAAGATAAGAGGGCAGAGGGAGGGGGATTTGGAGAGGGCTAAAGTGGTGTACTATGTGGGTGAAGGAAGAAGGGCTAATACATGGAGAATGTCATTAAGAGGGGGCATGGGTAGAAGTGGGCAAGGACGATAATGCCTGCTGCTATCTGTCAGCTCCCCTTGCCTCCGTTCCACTCTGCGGTCTAAATCTGTGTCTTTTGGGGCTGTGTATCTGGAGCAAATGAGCTGGATTTGGCCTGTCTCACGCTTTAACATTCCTTGTCATGGGCAGCAGTGTAGAGCACTATCCAGCTATTCCGCAGCATGTCACCATGACCATAGAATACAACATGCAAGATGGAGGCAGAGGAGACAGTGTGCTTTGTAAACAGTAAGCTGTGTTATTTAATCATTGTGCTATAGTTTATATGGTTGTCTGATGCACTTATATTAGACTGGCTAAAAAGCTAATAAACGGGTAAAGAAAGTGGCTTAGTAAAAGACCATGAGGAAATGAAGTGAGGAAAGGAAAATAACAGGCAAAGAAGTGTAGGCCTGCTAGTAATTAAGTCATGTTCAAACAACTCTGGTCCACATTTGATTACTTATTTCAAGAACATATAACAATATGCATCATGTGCAATACATTAATGAGCTCTAAATACACACCGATCAATTACACGTCCTACCACTCCTCCACTGTGAAACTGAACCTGACATCTGCATGGGCATGTTATCACGATCACATCTGACAAGTAACACCTTTGTTAATTTCCAATTGTCCAGGGACGAGGAGAAGAGAAATGCTATGTATTCTCAAACCGCATTCCTGTCCGCGCCAAAGGTGTTATTCCACACGGAGCAGATTCCAGCAGCCCTGTTTTAGGTCTAATAATCTAATTTTAGTGGAGCGGTGAGGAGGTGCAAATGACAGCACGCACAAAATGGATTATCGCCGCTGCCGCATGTATCTTTAGCAGACCCTGTCCCTCAGGTTCGCACCTCCAACGCGCAGCCAAACGGCCGCCTGCTATGGGAGCCCCATCCGCCTGAAGTCAAGAAGGGAAATGGAACGACACGAAGATGATTTATAAAGGGAAAAGCTTTTTAAAACAGTCCAGACAACTCAGCTTGGACATATTTTGGGGTCGAATACGATAAAGCACATGCCAAACTCATTCCACGGCGGGCCAGTGAGTGTCTGCGGGTTTTCGCTCCTCCCTTGTACTTTATTGATTAAGTAAGGTCACTAATTAGTAAGGAACTCCCCTCAATTGGTTTTCTAGGTCTTAATTGGAAGGAAAAGCCCAAAGGCTGCAGACACTAGGCCCTCCGTGGAATGAGCTTGACATCCCTGCCCTAAATCAGGGGTGTCAAACTCATTCCACGGAGGGCCGAGTGCCTGCGGGCGTTTGGTTTTTCATTTCAATTAAGACCTAGACATCCCAGGTGAGGGGAATTCCTTACTAATTAGTGACCTTAATTCATCAATCAAGTACAAGGGTGGAGCGAAAACCCGCAGACACGCCGCCCTCCATGGAATGAGTTTGACACATGTGCCCTAAAGGAGGCGAGGCTATTTCGCTCAATTTACCTCTGGTTCTCGTCCCACGCTAGTTTATAACCTATCACACAAGTTGACAATGCGCTAAGCAAACCCATGGAGGTTTCGCTTGAATGTCGATATTGAAAAACAGATGGACATGAGATCATGGTCAGTGATTTAATCTTCAAGTATTGCCAAAAACAACCTCGGGCGAAATGAAAATGAAAGTGAAGCCCATTTTACTAAGTGGACGACACATCATTGTGGAATTCATAATTAATTGTAGGCCACAGAGAAACGATAAAAATAATCAAAGAAAATTATATTTTGACCACCCATTGACTTAGATTTAAAACGTGCCTAATAAATCAATTTAAAGCATGCAGAAGAAGAATTAGGCCCACAAAATCCCGTTTGATATAAATTCAACTGACCGAAGACTATGACAAGATAATAGATGAACATATGGTAGACTATTTGTGTTATGTTAATAAAATCCGCCTCGAAACATTTTTCATTGTGACAAAGGCGACGGTGAAATCTCTACAGATATGTGTAGCGTATGGGCCTGTGTTGACCTTGAACTCGTTAAAGAAAAATGTTGGAGACAATTCGATAGAAAATAATAGGCGTTTGGAATTTGAATTACCATGCAAGACGCTACATGACCGTTTTTGTCATTAAAATATAGAACTTAATAGCTTAATGGAGCCTTTTTTTAACCAATAAATCACGAATTGTTAAGCCTATTATTAGAAGTATAATTATTGTCATTGTTATTATATTAATAAATTGAATGATAATTTAATAACCAACCTAGGCAATAGAGATTATTTAAGGAAAATGAATTAAGGAAAAAGAGCAATAGCCTACTATTTGCTATATAGGCCTAAATGTTCCCCAATCTTAATTCAATAAATTAAAACCCGTGTTTTACTCTGGGTTGCACCCGATTTAGACAAATGGGTGTCATAAATTAAACGCCCTTCGAGGAAAAATAGTTGGATTGGTTCATTTAACACAAATGTTTATCATATTTAGTACGATTGTTTTGGCAAGGGTCACTTGCTGCGCGCGGCCAAATTGTCAATAATTGCACATTTCAGTAATTATGCTCAATTTGCTTCATCTTGCAGAGACCGAACCTGATGTAGGCCTATATTATATTATACGCATTAAGTGTTATCATCTTTCTGATCACTCACTTAATCGCAATTTCCGTTCTTTTCTCGAATAAGTAAAGTCTATTTATCATGGCTGTTGTCCCTGTAGAAATACACAGGCCCATAGGCATGTCGCTGTTTTCAAGAGGGATAGACGATAGGCCCTAGTCATATATTAATATTAATAATGATTAGTCTATTATTATTATTATTATTATTATTATTATTATTAAATTTAATTAAAACCTGAATAAAGGGGAGCCCGAAACAGAATAACCATTCTGACAATAACCTTATTTTTTTGTGATGATGGATGTATTAATACAATTGCCAACATCCACTTTATGTCTTATACTGTATAGCAGATAGTCCTAAAGATATTATTGACAAATCTCTTAAAATGACTCTCAATCCAATACTTCCAAAATCTTTGTTTTGATCAGGAAACTCTAACTCAACATGCTTTTCAGATTTCAAATATTTAATTAACATGATCACGCAAAAATAATTATTACCATATGTTAGGATATTAAGCTATTAAATAAACCATAGGCTACAACCATAAAACAATATTTCAATGAAAATGGTCACAGGCTAAATTATTCAAATGTTTATGCAATAACACAATAGTATATTCTGATAGGCCTATATTCCCATGAAGGCAACAGGTGTATATCAAATCAATCTTCAATAAGAAAAAGTGTAAATAATCCATTGGATACATAAAGCCTGCTGTAGGCTATAGCCTACCCATAGAGAGTGAGTGAGTGAGTACACAGCACTTAAAGCGCGAACTTTGGCACTCTCACCGGGTCCAAATGATCAACTTGTCAATGCCCAGTCCTTTCATTCTAAATATAAAACGGGTCTACGAACCTCTGTGAGGAAGAAACCACAGTAAATCAAGAAATATAGGCTACACATAAAAATATAAAATATGAGAACACTCACCATGTGCGTCTCAATGCTTGATCTCCCTTCGCTCGCGGCGGCTCATGCGGTCTTTATCAATATAGGGGAGCAACAAGTGGACAGTTATCCGGACGCCCTGTGCTGTGCGCATGGAGTGGGGATCCAACTCGCTGCAGCCCGTCTCAATAAGGGGGCGTCGCGTCCTGACGTCAAGACGCCGCTGCCTCTCTCAACTCCAACTCACATCTGCACAGTGCCCTACTACAGTGCAGGGGGAGTCAGTCTAGCGGGCAATTTGCAGATAGACAATTAAGACAAAGTGGGCCCAATTACCGAGAAGTTCATCGTTGCTTTTGAAGACTTCAATCTCCTGTAGCAGTATTTGTTCTCGTTTTCCAATGGAAAAATCCTTGAACCACATAGGGTAGAAGGGGATTGCTCTTACATGTGGTATAGTGAGTACTAACTTAGCAGATGAACTAAAGTAGACACAGATGGAAAGAATGAAATAAAATAAAGAGAATGGATGGATGATGGGGGATGGGGGATGGAGGGAGAAGCGAGTGACTGAGGGAGGAGGAAGAAACTTTCCCAGAGAAGCCCATAAAACTGATTGATGACTTCTCTTGAGGAATGTTTCCCCAGGTGTGTGTGTGTGTGTGTGTGTGTCTGTGTGTGTGTGTGTGTGTGTGTGTGTGTGTGTGTGTGTGTGTGTGTGTGTTCAAGTAGTTACTCGGAGTCATTTAGAAATGCTATCCTTGGAAGGGTGACAAGAGTAATCAAATAAATTGAGGGTAGAAATGGCATGATTGTGCATCACCATTACATTTTGGCAGAGTTTGCATAGCCTATTAAAGACACACTATACACTTTTGAGCTCCCAGTTATGTCGAGGAGGAACATTGTTTTTCTTTGACGGCTGGTTTGATAAAGCAAAGCAAGTCTATTGGACAGAAGCTGTAAAGACAAAGAAGCTATGAAGCAATAAATATTTTTTTAAAAAGTACATCTGTATTAGGTGTGAGTGTCATACTGTCAGAGCGTAGAATAGCAGGTGTCCTGCCAAAATCTGCACCCTGCAGCAAGACGTAGATTGATGTAACTAATAAAAAGTGAGCCGAAACAAGACGAGGCAGTGATATTTGCCAGACTTTCCCCTCATCATCAGAGTAAAAATGAGGATCGTTCTTGACAGAATTGCAACGTTTCTGGATATTGGCGGGAACTGGAACACGCTGTCGTACACGTCGATCCAGAGCATCCCAAACATGCTCAATGGGTGACATGGCTGGTGAGTACACAGGCTTTGGAAGAACTGGGACATTTTCAGCTTCCAGGAATTGTGGACAGATCCTTGCGACATAGGGCCATGCATTATCATGCTGAAAAATGAGGTGATGATGGCAGATGAATGGCACAATGGGCCTCAGGATCTCGTCACTGTATCTCTGTGCATTCGAATTGCCATCGATACAATGTAATTGTGTTCATTGTCTGTAGCTTATGCCTGCCCATTCCATGACCCCACTGCCACCATGGGCACTCTGTTCACAACGTTGACATCAGCAAACTGCTCTTCCACATGATGCCATACACGCTGTCTGCCATCTGCCTGGTACAGTTGAAACTGGGATTCATCTGTGAAGAGCATAATTCTCCAGCATGCCAGTGGCCATCGAAGGTGAGCATTTGCCCATTGAAGTCGTTTACGACGCCAAACTGCAGTCAGGTCAAGACCCTGGTGAGGACGACGAGCACGCAGATGAGCTTCAATGAGACGGATTTCTGACAGTTTGTGCAGAAATTCTTCAGTTGTGCAAACCCACAGTTTCATCAGCTGTCCAGGTGCTTGTCTCAGTTGATCCCGCAGGTGAAGAAGTCGGATGTGGAGGTCAAATCAAATCAAATTTAATTTGTCACACGTGCCAAATACAACAGGTGTAGACCTTACAGTGAAATGCTTACTTACAAGCCTTAGACCAACAATGCAGTTTTAAGAAAGAATACCAAAAAACATCACTAATAAATACAATATAAAATAACACAAAATAAAAGCAACAAATATTTAAAGAGCAGCAGTAAAAATAACAATAGCAAGACTATATACAGGGGGTACAGGTACCGAGTCAATGTGTGGGGGCATCGGTTAGTCGAGGTAATTGATGTAATATGTACATGTATGTAGAGTTATTAAAGTGACTATGCGTAGATAATGGGCTGGCGTGGTTAAATGTGGTCACTAACATGGATGTAAACAAATTTGTGCATTTTAGAGAAATAAGCTTTTTGTGCGTATGGAAAATGTCTGAATTCTTTTATTTCAGCTCATGAAACTTGGGTCCAACACTTTACATATTGGGTTTATATTTTTGTTCAGTATACAGTGAGGGAAAAAAGTATTTGATCCCCTGCTGATTTTTTACGTTTGCCCACTGACAAAGAAATGATCAGTCTATAATTTTAATGGTAGGTTTATTTGAACAGTGAGAGACAGAATAACAACAACAAAAATCCAGAAAAACGCATGTCAAAAATGTTATAAATTGATTTGCATTTTAATGAGGGAAATAAGTATTTGACCCCCTCTCAATCAGAAAGATTTCTGGCTCCCAGGTGTCTTTTATACAGGTAATGAGCTGTAATTAGGAGCACACTCTTAAAGGGAGTGATCCTAATCTCAGCTTATTACCTGTATAAAAGACACCTGTCCACAGAAGCAATCAATCAATCAGATTCCAAACTCTCCACCATGGCCAAGACTAAAGATCTCTCCAAGGATGTCAGGGACAAGATTGTAGACCTACATAAGGCTGGAATGGGCTACAAGACCATCGCCAAGCAGCTTGGTGAGAAGCAGCAGGTAGCTTAGTGGGTAAGAGCGTTGTGCCAGTAACCAAAAGGTCGCTGGTTCTAATCCCCGAGCCGACTAGGTGAAAAATCTGTCAATGTGCCCTTAAGCAAGGCACTTAACCCTAATTGCTCCTGTAAGTCACTCTGGATAAGAGAGTCTGCTAAATGACTAAAATGTAAAAATGTAAGGTGACAACAGTTGGTGCGATTATTCGCAAATGGAAGAAACACAAAAGAACTGTCAATCTCCCTCGGCCTGGGGCTCCATGCAAGATCTCACCTCGTGGAGTTGCAATGATCATGAGAATGGTGAGGAATCAGCCCAGAACTACACGGGAGGATCTTGTCAATGATCTCAAGGCAGCTGGGACCATAGTCACCAAGAAAACAATTGGTAACACACTATGCCATGAAGGACTGAAATCCTGCAGCGCCCGCAAAGTCCCCCTCACTGTAGATGATGAAGCTTTTGTAGCGGGTGGGGTTAGGAGGCCCAGAGGCCCCGCCCACATGTATGGACCTGGTCAGGCATTTGTCATCCTGATAGGGACACCTGGAGAGGAAGTAAAATACATTAATAGTAGTTTGTCAATCAACACAGTGTTTGTTAGCCCACTGAGCTTAAGCCTAGGAGGCATTAGCTTTGGGAGCAAACACCAGTCTTCAGGTCTCGGCATGTTGATGGGTTTTACACACCATCTAAAGCAGCGTTTTCCAAACTTGGTCCTGGGGACCCCAAGGGGTGCACGTTTTGGTTTTGCCCTAACACTACATAGCTGATTCAAATGATCAAACTTGATGATTACAGTGTCGCCCTCCCAGAGTGCAAAGAACCTTGGCGTGACCCTGGACAACACCCTGTCGTTCTTTGCAAACATCAAAGCAATGACCCGCTCCTGCAGGTTCATGCTCAACAACATCCGTAGAGTACGACCCTACCTCACACAGGAAGCGGCGCAGGTCCTAATCGAGGCACTTGTCCTCTCCCGTCTGGACTACTGCAACTCTCTGTTGGCTGGGCTCCCCGCTTGTGCCATCAAACCCCTGCAACTTATCCAGAATGCAGCAGCCCGCCTGGTGTTCAACCTTCTTAAGTTCTCTCATGTCACCCCGCTCCTCCGCACACTCCACTGGCTTCCAGACTAACCTCGCATCCACTACAAGACCCTGGTGCTTACCTACGGAACAGCAAGAGGAACTGCCCCTCCCTACCTTCAGGCTATGCTCAAACCCTACACCCCAACCCGAGCACTCCGTTCTTCCACCTCAGGTCTCTTGGCCCTCCCACCCCTATGGGAGGGCAGCTCCCGCTCAGCCCAGTCCAAGCTCTTCTCTGTCCTGGCACCCCAATGGTGGAACCAAGTTGCCCCTGAAGCTAAGACAGCAGAGTCCCTGCCCATCTTCCGAAAACATCTGAAACCCTACTTCAAACAGTATCGAAACAATCCTCCTCCTCACCTCAACCCCCCCCCCCCCCCCCAAAAAAAAAGAATAAATAAATAAATAACACTTAACCAGCACTTGCACTTGACCCCTCCCCGCCCCGACCCCATCCCCCCTTCTAGCTCTGACTTTACTGACAGCTACGTTATTAAGGAACAATGTACTTTCTATGCCTGTGATATGTGGTTGTACCACCTAGCTATCTTAAGACGAATGCACTAATTGTAAGTCGCTCTGGATAAGAGTGTCTGCTAAATTACTAAAACGTAAATGTAAAATGTAGTTGATTCTTTTAAGGCAAGGCAAAAAACAAAACATGCATCCTTTGGGGTCCCAAGGACCGAGTTTGGGAAACCCTGAACTAAAGACATGCCAGGAGGGCACAATTGTATTCATCTAAAAGTACCCTTTGAATGAATGAATGAAAAGTATTGATCCCCAGAGAGGAAATTTAGTTTGTCATCAGCATCAGACAGGAACAATACAGACAAATAAACAAACAATGTTTTTTTTAATTTAGCCCTGGACCAGGAAGCTCCAGCAGGGCAGGCTGACAGGGCTGGGGGTGGAGGTGGCCCAGCACTCCTGCAGGGTGAGGACCAGGTTGGGGCCGCTTTGCTCCAGCACCCGCCACTCCACGTACACAGGTTTCCCAGGACCTTGGTGACAGGATAGTCCTCCTCTGTGTGGTAGGAGCCAAACCTCCAGTCTGGACAGATGGGAGAGGGATGAGAGTTTTAAACCAGGGGTGTCTCTCAATCTTCTAAAGTGTCTTCCTCTCCTTGTTTACTTTCCTTCAATCTTTTGACAGGTGAAAGGAAGGGTGCCAAACCAACTATACTGAACAAAAATATAAACACAACATGCAACAATTTCATTGATTTTACCGAGTTACAATTCATATAAGGAAATCAGTCAATTGAAATAAATAAATTAGGCCTTAATCTATGGATTTCACATGAGTGGGCAGGGGCGCAGCCATGGGTGGGCCTGGGAGGGCATAGGCCCAACCACTTGGGAGCCCACCCACTGGGGAGCCAGGCCCAGCTAATCAGAAGGAGTTTTTCTCCACAAAAGGGCTTTATTACAGACAGAAATTCTCCTCAGTTTCATCAGCTGTCCGGGTGGCTGGTCTCAGACGATCCCGCAGGTGAAGAAGCAGGATGTGAAGGTTACACGTGGTCTGCGGTTGTGAGGCCGGTTGAACGTACTGCCAAATTCTCTCAAATGACGGAGGCGGCTTATGGTAGAGAAATTAACATTCAATTCTCTGGCAGCAGCTCTGGTGGACATTCCTGCAGTTAGCATGTCAATTGCACGCTCCCTCAAAACTTGAGACATCTGTGGCATTGTGTTGTGTGACAAAACTGCACATTTTAGAGTGGCCTTTTATTGTCCCCAGCACAAGGTGCGCCTGTGTAATGATCATGCTGTTTATTCAGCTTATTGATATGCCACACCTGTCAGGTGGATGGATTATCTTGGCAAAGGAGAAATGCTCTCTAACAGGGATGTAAACAAATTTGTGCACACAATTTGAGAGAAATAAGCTTTTTGTGCATATGGAACACTTCTGGGATCTTTTATTTCAGCTCATGTTTGACATCGTGGGATTTTTTTTGTGTCAGTACAATTTATTATGCGAGAAATGGTGGTGGAAAAGCCTTAATGTGAAATATTGCTATAATACCCATCATTTTGAAGTAAACTTGGAGTCACGCCATGATACAGTTTGTTGTATGGTCCTCCCACTACAACTAGGGAAACCATACCGTTTATTAGCATACAGACATAGCCATATGAAGTAGTTTGGGGTGGGGTTGCCGCAATTTTTTTGCCGACGTATGCAGAAAAAAAAAGACATCTGTAATGGTCTGCTAATACAGGACTAGTAAAGGCCCAGTGCGCTACTTTTGTGATTTAAAAAAAACACGACATGTATTTGAGTGTTTACCAGCATTTGTAACTTGAGTCTGTTAGCCTAATTATCCGTACAAAACAGTTCATCTGATAATACGTCTTTGATATTTGTTTTCCAGTTTCTTGAAATACTTTGCAAATGCTTATTTCTATATGAAAACTGAAATAGTCTATTCATTCTCCATTTTAGGAGACTCTCTTATCCAGAGCAACTTACAGTAGTGAGTGCATACATTTTCATCCATGGGAATCGAACACACAACCCTAGCATTGCAAGCGCCATGCTCTCCCAACTGAGCCAGATCATCACATCACATCATCACATACAACTTGATGTGTCAATGTACTCAGTTACTGTATTGTGCATTGTTTTTCTTCATGGTGATGGAAAGTCTACAGGTACAAACCTAGATGACCAGCCTCTGTACAATACAGTAATGTACATTTACATTAAGTGGTTTGTAAGGATGGTAAGTTAATACTGCACAAAAAGTGCTTGTTTCCATGTTATTTGATCAATAACAATATTACATTTGATGTGGATGTTTTGTGTCTTTGCCCATCACTTTGCACCTTTTGATGTAAATGTTTGAGGACAGGGTCTTGTTATTTCTGGATTCCATTAGAATAACAACTGCAGAGAAAGGGACAGGCCAACAACTCTTATAATTTCAACAATTGAATCCTGCAAGAAATTGTTCTTAATTATACAACTACCTTTTTTGGCAAAGCAGAGATGCAGATTTATTTTTTGTCCGCCCTACAGAGGTCGGTCAGCTAATACTAGTAAAGGCCCTTTGCACTTTAATTTTTTATTTCTTTCAGGGGGTGCTGCTGCACCCTAAGCACCCCTACTTCCCGCTGCTATGGCTACAGATGAAATCACTTATGGTGATCTTCACAGGGTGGTGAAAGTGCATGGTGATCTTGACACTCCTTTCCAATAAATATTGAGGGTCTGATTCTGGTGACAAGATGATCGATGCTTGACTGCCGTTTGGCAAAAAGATTATCGCTCTTTAACGCAACCATTTTTGTGACAAAACTATCGGTAGAGTTGAAAATACGATGGAAACACATTGAACTTTTGATTTTTATTCGGTACATGAAAACTTAAGCGCTAAAGTACATTTTGTGTGCACTTCGTCATCAAGCACTGATTTTATCTGCAACAAGTCCATTTGTTGGAAACACACCACTAGTGGGAAAATGGGCATATTTTCCTTATGCATATTTTAGAATATTTGCATGAAAACCTGTAGCCAATTGGATGGAAACCTAGCTTTAGATATAGAAATTAGTGCTGATTGTTAATTTGCCAATCCAAGTTGTTGGAGATAATGAGGTGACCAATCAAGTGTAGACTACTGGCAGGTGCACATGGACCCTATTATGGATGATTTCACTTTCCCATAACAGAAAATGTAAAACATTTTACCATTTTATCAATGCAATTCTAGAGACAATTTCTAAATATACCACAAGATGGCAGCACAGCACAGTACAAATCTCCAGGGCTGTGTTAAACCAGCAATATGTAACTTTTTGGTCAACCCGACCCAATTCACATAGAAATGTGAGTTATACATCTGTTATTCTCATTGAAAGCAAGTCTAAGAAGTAGTAGATCTGTCCTATGTGCGTTATTTCTATGCTTTCTGTTCTTAAATTTCATTTTTGAGTCTTTTACTTTCGGTTTTGTACACCAGCTTCAAACATCTGAAAATACAATAATTTTGGTCATGGGAAATATATTTCACAGCGGTTTTGATAGTACAATGATTCTCTACACTATACTTGCTTGCTTTGTCACAGAAACTGAAATGAGGGTAACTATTAGAATTTTAGCAACCAGGAAACGGCGGAGCGGTTTCTGAATAGTGCATCTTTAATGGTAAGTTCAATTAAACAGAAAACATGCTGTCCTGAACAACCAGGGGTGTATTTATTACGGAAACCGTTTACCGTTTAAGAATAAAACAGAGGCAAACAGAATGAAAAGGGGAGGGACCTATCTGAATTTGTCCAACAGAAACTCTAGTTTGAATTAATACACCCCAGTTGAAAAAGGGGTTGGGGAACACTGTCAGCATGGCTGTTGCACTTTAAATATGCTACTCATTGAGGGAGTAAGAATTCCGGCTCTCACAGACCTGTTAGTTTTTCTTTAAGAAGCCCTCCTCTTCTCCACTCATTACCTGTATTAACTGCACCTGTTTGAACTCGTTACCTGTATAAAAGACACCTGTCCACACACTCAATCAAACAGACTCAAAGCTCTCCACAATGGCCAAGACCAGAGAGCTAAGGACATCAGGGATAAAATTGTAGACCTGCACAAGGCTGGGATGGGCTACAGGACAATAGGCAAGCAGCTTGGTGAGAAGGCAACAACTGTTTGGCGCAATTATTAGAAAATGGAAGAAGTTCAAGATGACGGTCAATCACCCTCGGTCTGGGGCTCCATGCAAGATCTCACCTCGTGGGGCATCAATGATCATGAGGAAGGTGAGGGATCAGCCCAGAACTACACGGCAGGACCTGGTCAATGACCTGAAGAGAGCTGGGACCACAGTCTCAAAGAAAACCATTAGTAACACACTACGCCGTCATGGATTAAAATCCTGCAGCGCACGCAAGGTCCCCCTGCTCAAGCCAGCGCATGTCAAGGCCCGTCTGAAGTTTGCCAATGACCATCTGGATGATCCAGAGGAGGAATGGGAGAAGGTCATGTGGTCTGATGAGACAAAAATATAGCTTTTTGGTCTAAACTCCACTCGCTGTGTTTGGAGGAAGAAGAAGGATGAGTACAACCCCAAGAACACCATCCCAACCGTGAAGCATGGAGGTGGAAACATCATTCTTTGGGGATGCTTTTCTGCAAAGGGGACAGGACGACTGCACCATATTGATGGGAGGATGGATGGGGCCATGTATCGCAAGATCTTGGCCAACAACCTCCTTCCCTCAGTAAGAGCATTGAAGATGGGTCGTGGCTGGGTCTTCCAGCATGACAATGACCCGAAACACACAGCCAGGGCAACTAAGGAGTGGCTCCGTAAGAAGCATCTTAAGGTCCTGGAGTGGCCTAGCCAGTCTCCAGACCTGAACCCAATAGAAAATCTTTGGAGGGAGCTGAAAGTCCGTATTGCCCAGTGACAGCCCCGAAACCTGAAGGATCTGGAGAAGGTCTGTATGGAGGAGTGGGCCAAAATCCCTGCTGCAGTGTGTGCAAACCTGGTCAAGACCTACAGGAAATGTATGATCTCTGTAATTGCAAACAAAGGTTTCTGTACCAAATATTAAGTTCTGCTTTTCTGATGTATCAAATACTTATGTCATGCAATAAAATGCAAATTAATTACCAAAAAATCATACAATGTGATTTTCTGGATTTTTGTTTTAGATTCGGTCTCTCACAGTTGAAGTGTACCTATGATAAAAATTACAGACCTCTACATGCTTTGTAAGTAGGAAAACCTGCAAAATCGGCAGTGTATCAAATACTTGTTCTCCCCACTGTACATCTCTTTTCCATAAAATCATTTTCAAATGAGTTTTCATTGGGAAGGCAGATAAAGTGTTTTTACTCTATGTGCTTAACCTACGTCACTTTTGTTTTGAGCCGACGTTGCTGGCGGTCAAAGCGGGGCACCTGGCTCACGCCCGGGAAGCAACCCAGATCCAAAACGAATGCAATCACTTTTCACCCGGTTCAAACTCCTCCCACTCGGGAAACCTGGGCGAGGTAATCGAATCCCCTCATTGCTTCAAGTACACCCAGCCACACCCACCAAACAGAGAAAAAGTACCTCAATGTCTGTTCAAGAACATTTTGGGGAAACATGTCTTTCAGTACAAACCGTTACGCAACGTAGCAAAAGTTCAATTGAACTGAATGCACCTTGTAGCTGCTACATTATTTTGAAATGGATAATATGCATTTGTACGACAACTTTTTTTATCCAGTATTAACTTTTTCTTGCTCCCTATACAGTAGAATCCCCATGAGAAGCTAAACTAGATTCAGATACATTTCAACAATCACACGTACACAACGTGATAAAAACAGAGTTTATTAAACATTAAAAAAAAAAAAATGCATTTTGGAAACATGGATAAGGAAACAAACATTTTACATATAGTTGTACAAGGATTCAAAACATGGGCACACAATAACACTGACAAGGTAAAATGGTTTTCCAATTTCTTATACTTCCCCATCTTAGATATTCCCATGTTGGTATTTTAAGTGGATTTCATTATAGTGTAGCATTCTGAGTGTCAACTCACCTATTGAAAAGGCACATTTATGGTGGCTTCAGGAGTGTGTAAATTGATGATATTGATTCGATGCAAATTGTAAACCATGATGACACATCTGTGAAAGCATTTGGACCGACACCGCTAGATGGCCTCTTCCTTCACAGATGATTTTAGAGTGGTGAAGTACTGAAAGTTCTGGGAGACTTGACTTGGTACACTCTATCAGAAGGCTGAGAGTCTATGCAGAGATAGGAAATGTAATGTTCAGTTGATTGGTTTGCTACATACATTATTATTGCTGTTGAATGTAACATTGTAACTACGCTCCATGCATTCTAACTCTGCCCCACTCCATAGATCTTATGACCATATGGGACTCCGTCATTTTGGGTGATTTCACAGTTCTCCTGCATCGTCTGTCTTAGAGGGAAAACCGGGTCAGTGTTGAACAGTCTGTGAACTCATGCTATGTTGTGTTTGCCTCTATTCAAGTGTCTATTTGAGTGAGTGTGGGCATTAGGTGTGAGTTTGCTTTGCAAGTGTTATAGTGTGTGTCTCACCTTGCTCAGAGGTCTTGAGGACGTGCGTCTCACACAGGAAGGGTTCCAGCCTCTCCTCCTGATGGTGGAAGTACCAGTCCTCAACAACCTCCTCATGCTGCTCAAGTAGGGCTGTATGTTGATGTGTACACACCAGTGGAGGCTGGTGGGAGGAGCTATAGGAAGACGGGCTCATTGTAATGTCTGGAATGGAATAAATGGAACGGAGTCAAACATATGGAAACCACAATTGACTCTGTTCCTTTTATTACATGCCAGCCATTACAATGAGCCCATCCTCCTATAGCTCCTCCCACCAGCCTCCACTGGTACACACACACAGGTATGTACCTGTTTCTTCATGTTGGACATCTCCACCTAGGGTTCGTCCCAGACTTCATAGGGCAGGCCCAGCTCCATCTTCGCCTTCTTATGCACCAGGTTCTTCAGAGTGGCCATGGTCCAACTGGTACCCTGAAACACACACAGACCATTAGTAGGTGTGTTACATAATGAGTGGTCAAATCACATAAAGACGTCCTCCAGCGATTTTGATTTTTACTGAAGAAGGACTTTAAGTCTACAACAAGAGAGCAGAGCTCAAGGAAAGGATTGCCTCTTGCCTCTTCCTCTCCATAAGCTAAAGTGGCTTCTTCTCCTTAAACCCTTCCCTTCATTGGCACTGATTTGAAAGGACAGATGACCCATCCTGTTTTATCAAATCACCACAGCTGAAGGAGAGGAGGGCCACTTTAGACTACTATCCCTGAGGTCACTTACGAGGTGTTTTATTTGATATTGCATCTGCGTTTCCCCGTGTCCAGCAGCACTCCCATCTACAGCACCTCCTTGGACCAGCCCGTCTTCTCCAGTGCTGCCTGCAACTCCACCGTCAGGAACTTACACACTGTGGGGTTTACACAGACAGACGTACTGACTGACACAGAGGAGCAGTAGCGGTGCGTGGGTAAAATCACTTGGGAAGCCATAAAAAAAGTCATATTACAACCTTTGTGTTGTGATAACTGTGATGTTTGCCCTATAACCTGTTAGTTCATATGCCTTGCGACCGAGATATATAGGCTTAAGGCCGAGACAATAAGACGACACAGTGGAAGAATAAATTCAACCACACCTTTATTTCATCACAAAACCGGAAAGGAACCTCTGTCAGGTGAAGTCCACAAAGCATATTGCATGTAACAAACAGTTACATGACCTACAGCATGGTCAAGCAAGTTAATGTTTCCGACATTTTCACTAAACAACTTTATTTTATTTCTTTTTTTTTACCCCCCTTTTTCTCCCCAATTTCAATCTTGTCTCATCGCTGCAACTCCCCAATGGGCTCGGGAGAGGCGGAGTCATGCATCCTCTGAAACATGACCCGCCTAACCGCATTCCTTAACACCCGCCATTTTAACCCAGAAGCCAGCCGCACCAATGTGTCGGAGGAAACACCATTCAACTGGCAACCGTCCTCCCCTAACCCGGACGATGCTGGGCCAATTGTGCGCTGTCCTATGGGATTCCCGGCCACGGCCGGTTGTGGCACAGCCTGGGAATGAACCCGGGTCTGTAGTAACGCCTCTAGCACTGCAATGCAGTGCCTTAAACCACTGCGCCACTCGGGAGGCCCTCAACTATTGATTTAGAACCACAGAGAGTTACCGCAAGTCGCAAAGAAAACAAGAGCTGCCTCCACTATTCCAGCAACATTTCAACTTCAACATTTCAACGTCATCAAATCACCTATGCTTAGTCTAATACAGTGACAACTTAAAGAAAACAATTTAGTCAACGTAAGCTAAATTGGATGTGGCTGTCCATGATTGTTCGGATTTCTATGTGTGCGTTCGCGTTCGTGCAAGTAGAAAAAACATGTTGACTCACCCTACTTGTAGAGAAATGCCAATGCCATCCTCCTCTCTTTCATGTTGAAGAAACGGTCTATCACTCTGTCAAACAGTACACACTTTAATTTTTTTGTTGTCCTAGGCTACCTGGCTAAAGAGCTTGCTCGCTAGCCTAACTTCCTTTCATGGGTAACGTTAGCTAGTTAACATTAGCCTTCTACATCTAGCTACATATTGAGGAAGCAAAATAACTCAGTTCTCTTTGTATTCACACTGCCCTTGCCTTTGAATGAGGACTCAACTCTTTTTCCAGTTCACTTCACCTATTTTGTGGTCTGAGTCCTCTTTGCACTCACATTGCTATGTTTAGAAAGGAACCAATATATTTTTCAAACATTCACTCAATGTACTCAGGGTTTTTACAAGGTGCAGGACAAGCAATTCCATCAGAATGTGTTGTCGGACAATTATATATACCTACTTACATTTTGGAAGCTAATAGATTGCATTTAGTTAAAAGATGAGACATAATAATTGTAATCAGAAGATACTATTAACATGTACGTAAATATGATTGTTAACAGAATAAATAGCATAAGAATAACTGTAGATTAAATAATGCTGTAATTGAAAATTGTACACCCAATGTAGGCTACTGCCACTTTAAGAGCTAGAATAGATTTTGTACCCTATGATGTGATTCTCACCAATGTGAGATGTTGTCTTACAAAAAAGGGAAACCGGATCAAGGAATTCAAGCAAACCGAACTCCGACGACCTCTCGAGATGGTCTCAGTTCGGTTCGCTTCGGGGCTATTTTGAAGGGTCTGAGTTCCTTTGTAGTATTCACACTTCACCAAAAAAAATTAAGCGAACCACCCTGAGTTCACAAAATTTGTCTGAAAGGGACAAAGTGTGCAAACACCCTCAGACTCACAGCAAGTAAATGGCAATAAACTGGTGCAGTGTAGAAGTTGGCACTACCCAAAAGGGGAAAAGGGGGATCGTGCCCATTCGGTTTAGGAAACCTAGTCGAGCATTGAAAACATCAAACTCAAGGTAGGGAACGGTATTCAGAGTAAAATGTAACCACCTGCTTATTTGTTAACAATACAAAAAAATATGCTAAGATAGCAATGCATTTATTTTATCTCATAAGGATTTTATCAAGTGAAATTGGTTGGTGAGTTTGAAGCTTTGGAGTCCCCTGCTTGTCAGTGCTATAATTCTAGAGCTAGGGCCTTCTATTTATTTATAAACAGTATTTATAAATAGGCAGTGTAAATATGATTAATTATGACAGAGCAGGGTTTGTAGGGTTCATGTCATTGTGGTGCTATTCTTGTTGACAGTTGGTTATGAGAAAGGAAGATACTTCAGACAGGTATGAAGGAGTGAGTAGATTGATAAGCAAAGGTGGGGTTTATACATAGATGACTGATTTAATGTGATTGTGACTAGCTGATACAGTAATATTTCATCCAATGCTTCAATGCCATCCAACTCTGAATCTTTCCTAAAATGGTGGTGTGCCCTTGTCACAAAATGGCCTGGACGTTTAGGAAACATCATCAGACCTACATCTAAAATATTTGGTAGACAAATGGTAGACATAAGTTAAGTTTAATAGCATCACATCTGTAATCCTATCTGCACATAGGCTTTTATGAGCATACGTTTCCAGTCTGCAGTAGTATCTAGTCAATAATATTGCCTGTCCCACTGTTTCATGTGTGTACACTGCAATCCAGCTGTTAGCTGCAAATGTGAACAACATGACATAGATACATAGCTATTTACATTTAAATGAGATTATCCGTTTTCAGTCTGGCGATGACGGGGTTAAAGGAGGGGGATGGGGAAGAGGAGGAGGTTGGGGTGCCCCGCTGTCGGGATGGGGGGGAAGGGAGGAGGAGAAGAGGGAAGGGAGAGAGGAAGGGAGGAGAGAGAGAGCGAGAGGGGAAGGTTTGTGAGTCTCCGATCGCGAGAGTCGCTTTTTCCCTCGTATGAGAGGAAGATCCTCTCTATCCCGCTCCTGCTCGGCTTCTATCTTCTCTTTTCTCTCTCTTCTCTCTCTGCTCTCCTTCATCTTTCTCACTTCTTTTTGTCTTCGCTCTACTCTCTCTCCTGTCTCTCCCTTCTCTGGTTTTTCCTTTCTTTTTCTTTCCTCTCCTCTCGCTCAGGTCCCCCTTCTCTCCCTCTCTCTTCTCTCTCTCCTCTCTCTCTCTTCTCTCCTCTCTCTCGATCTCTCTCTCCTCTCTCTCCTTCTCTCTCTCTCTCTCTCTCTCTCTCTCGCGCTCTCTCTTACTCTCTCTCTCTGCTCTTTGTTTTGCGAGGTTGCGGCTGCCTCGGAGATCTCAGTGTTTTGTCCATTTACTCGACTCTTCTCTCCGCGCTCATGACGAGGGGTCTACCAGATAAAGTTGCGGGTGGTATTTTCCCTATGAGAGGACAGAACACTATCCAGAGGACCTGAAGAGAGGAGCAGACCCAGCAGTAAGAGATACCTCCACATACACACACACACACGCACAGGAGAAAGAGAGAGAAAGATCAATAAGTGCCTCAATGAAGAGACAACCAAACAGCACCTTAACGTGTATGTGCTGTGTGTCTTTGCATGGAATTGCCTACACACTAACAATTATAGCCTTGCATGGTCTCAAGTCTCAAGTTCTCTTGATTGGTTAGTTTGTGTCTGCTCCCTCTGTCCTACGCACCTGGGACAGTCCCCTATGTGCACTCTTAGAAAAAAGGGGTTCATAAAGGTTCTGTGGCTGTCCCCATAGGAAAACCCTTTTTGGTTCCAGGGAGAACCCTTTTGGGTTCCATGTAGAAAGGGTTCTACCTGGAACCAAATGGGGTTCTTCAAAGGGTTTTCCTATGGGGACAGCCGAATAACCCTTTTTGGTTCTAGATAGCACCTTATTTTCCCTAAGAGTGTGGGTTAGAGGATGAAGAGTGTTTTTACTGTAATGGGTGAAACATTAGCATGTCTGAACGTAACCCTGTGGTGTTTCCCCAGTGTGAGAGGCTACAGTGGCTAGCTCTTGCTAATTGTGTGTTACAGTATGTCACAGAGCGATGGAAGGAGTATCCATTGTCTGTCTGGAGGGTAGGGTTACAGCAGCACAAAGCTACACAGGTCTACTGATGTTACTGATGCCCTGTCACGGTTACAGCCACAAACACTCCCACCAGACCTGGGTTCAATACTATTTAAAATCGTCGCAAATACTTTAGCTGGTCTTGATTGAGCATCCCGGCGCAATAGGCTTAATTGAATAGTCGCAATCCCCGCCTATCTGGCAATCCAGGCAGGCTAAAGACAAAAATTGTATTTGAACCCAGGTCTAACCGACACACACATACACATCATATGAAGTCACATACGAATGGCACATGGCTGCACAGGTTGTGATAGGTTGAACATGGACATCACACATACAGCGTGTCACTCAACTCTAGGCGCTGTTACGTATTCACAAACACACTTAGGCGCTTTAAAAAGTCACAAGCGACGTCGCTCATGTCAGGACTACACACACAGAGCAGTCAGACAGAGAGAGGCACACACACACACATAGAGACACACACAGACACAGAGACTGAAGCTAAAATAAATGGCAATAGCCCAAAACATTAAGAGTTGCGATTCATGCTGTAATAACAGTACAGTCGTGGTAATTTTTTTTGAGAATGACACAAATATTAAGTTTCACAAAGTCTGCTGCCTCAGTTTTTATGATGGCAATTTGCATATACTCCAGAATGTTATGAAGAGTGATCAGATGAATTGCAATCAATTGCAAAGTCCCTCTTTGCCATGAAAATGAACTTAATCCCCAAAAAACATTTCCACTGCATTTCAGCCCTGCCACAAAAGGACCAGATGACATGTCATGTCAGTGATTGTCTCGTTAACACAGGTGAGTGTTGACGAGGACAAGGCTGGAGATCACTCTGTCATGCTGATTGAGTTAGAATAACAGACTGGAAGCTTTAAAAGGAGGGTGGTGCTTGAAATCATTGTTCTTCCTCTGTTAACCATGGTTACCTGCAAGGAAACACGTGCCATCATCATTGCTTTGCACAAAAAGGGCTTCACAGGCAAGGATATTGCTGCTAGTAAGATTGCACCTAAATCAACCATTTATCGGATCATCAAGAACTTCAAGGAGAGAGGTTCAATTGTTGTGAAGAAGGCTTCAGGGCGCCCAAGAAAGTCAAGCAAGCGCCAGGATCGGGGCACCACCAGTGCAGAGCTTGCTCAGGAATGGCAGCAGGCAGGTGTGAGTGCATCTGCACGCACAGTGAGGCGAAGACTTTTGGAGGATGGCCTGGTGTCAAGAAGGGCAGCGAGGAAGCCACTTCTCTCCAGGAAAAACATCAGGGACAGACTGATATTCTGCAAAAGGTACAGGGATTGGACTGCTGATGACTGGGGTAAAGTCATTTTCCGATTGTTTGGGGCATCTGGAAAAAAGCTTGTCCGGAGAAGACAAGGTAAGCGCTACCATCAGTCCTGTGTCATGCCAACAGTAAAACATCCTGAGACCATTCTTGTGTGGGGTTGCTTCTCAGCCAAGGGAGTGGGCTCACTCACAATTTTTCCTAAGAACACAGCCATGAATAAAGAATGGTACCAACACATCCTCTGAGAGCAGTTTGGTGACGAACAATGCCTTTTCCAGCATGATGGAGCACCTTGACATAAGGCAAAAGTGATAACTAAGTGGCTCGGGGAACAAAACATTGAAATGTTGGGTCCATGGCCAGGAAACTCCCCAGACCTTAATCCCATTGAGAACTTGTGGTCAATCCTCAAGAGGCGGGTGGACAAACAAAAACTCACAAATTCTGACAAACCAAGCATTGATTATGCAAGAATGGGCTGCCATCAGTCAGGCTGTGGCCCAGAAGTTAATTGACAGCATGCCAGGGCGGATTGCAGATGTCTTGAAAAAGAAGGGTCAACACTGCAAATATTGACTCTTTGCATAAACTTAATGTAATTGTCAATAAAAGCCTTTGACACTTATGGAATGCTTGTAATTATACTTCAGTATACCATAGTAACATCTGACAAAAATATCTAAAAACACTGAAGCAGCAAACTTTGTGAAGACCAATACTTGTGTCATTCTCAAAACTTTTGACCACGACTGTATGCTCACTTACTGAAATCATTTATTTATTTTCCTTTTTCTTTTTATTCACATTTTATTTCAACCAGGAAATCCCATTGAACATAAAGAACATATTTTCCAAGGGAGATCAAGATGCCACTATAAACACTGGAAAACTACCACAAGACCTACAGCTGGTCTGCGAGCCTGTACGGGTTGCCTTAGAGACAGAGAAGACAGACAGGAACAACAGAAGCTGACCCTATCGCTCCATACAACCTCGCTCTCTCTCTTTCTCTCTCTCTCTAACATCCTCTATTGGATATATGGGAGTCCAGAAGTGGCTTTCCTGACTTTTAACTTCCCCAGATAACATTATACTGTATTGGACCAATCAGATGGAACTGTATTTATGACTAAGAGGGAGTGGTTTACGGGACGTACCTGAGCTCCGGGAATTTGCTCCTACCGGGAACCAAAGTGGATACAGTGACAAGCCGTCTAGAACAGGTACTCACTGTACTTAGTTAGAATATTTTATTTTATTGATTTACTTATTTGACTATGTACAGGTTAACAACTGGGCATCAAGACATATTAACAGATTGAGACATTATATTGCAAAGAAACACTGTAGTAAGGCTTCTGTCATTCTTACCTTTGTCATACACAGAGGATAGGTTATTTTCAGTTCTGCCATACTCTCATAGACAGCACCCATATCATTTACCCATATCATTTTAGAACTGTTAATGTGAAGAAGTGCTTCTCGTCTTTAACTGCCCTTAACATGGCGCCCAGAGAGGGAAAGCAAGAGTGTAATTTACTAATGTTGGCCTGTGTGTGTCTGTGTGGATGTGTGTGTCGGTACTCAGCACCACTAGATCTCCAGCCACCTACACCACACACACACCGGCTCCTGGCATAAACACTGACACAGAATCACACCTGGCTCACACACACTAATGTACACACACTCTCTGATGCACACACTCACACACTCACACATTCACACACACACATTCATTGACGCACACACACACAGTGATGCACACTCATACACACTCTGCTGGCTAGTGTCTGCCCCCTTGGCAGTAGCTAGGTCTAATGGCAAACTGTGTCCTCACCTCATGTCCCCTCCCCCTGACCCCTATGACCTTAACGTTAACCCTTCCAGCTCCACACTTTTCATTCATGTAATGTACTATCTGTGTAGAGCTTAGTTACTTTCTCGTGTTATTCTTATTGCTATTTCTCATGTGTTTTTGTTCTACTTGACTTTTTAGGTGATTTTTTATAGTACTACTGATATTGATTACTGCATTGTTGGGAAAGAGCAAGCAAGAAATCATTTCACTGTACTAGTGCACGTGACAATAACAACTTGAAACTATCTTACTCTCGACACCAATAGAATGAGAAGACTGTAATATCACGTTCTAAATAGTGAAATGATTGGACATTCTCCTCGCTGTTCCCCCGTTTCCTCTCTCATGCCCCATCTCTTTCTCTCTCAATCCCTCTCTCTACTTTTTCTCTCTCATCCTCAGTATGCCAGAGAGAGTGTGTGGCTTCCAGGGGCAGAGTTTCCACAAGCTGAAGAGAGTGTGTCTGCGGCGGGGCAAGCTCTTCCAGGACCCCCTCTTCCCCCCCTCTGCACTGTCACTCTTCTACAAACGAGATCCACCCCCTGGACTCACATGGAAGAGACCACGGGTGAGAGAATGGGGGATGGAGGGGAGAGAGAAGTGGAGAGAGTGGGTGGATGAGTGCTAAGGAGGTGCCAAGGAGGCGCAAGTGTCAAACGCATTTTCCAGCCCTAAAGCCAGGTTCTGCAATTTACCTGTCTAACATCAGCTGTTGTGAGGAGGTGGGAGGGTGGCAATATTTGAGGTGTGTCCCCAGATAGCACATAATGTTCTAAGAACCATATGTTTGTTAGAGCTTGGTGAGAGCGTGGCTGTCCTATGGTTATTTTGCATACAACCTTCCCACACTGTTCTGGGAATGGTGCATGATACCCAGCTAGCACATAACGTTCTGAGAACCAAGTTTCTTAGGTGGGAATTTCAGTACTTCAGCATAACGTATTCTATAGGTTTCCTCATGGTTCTATTTAAAGTAATGTTCTCAGAATGTTCAGAGAAAGTTACAATGTTCTTCTGTGGGAATTTCAGTACTTCAGCATAACGTTTTCTGCAGGTTTCCTCATGGATTGTGTAGGTGAGCCATTCAGAGGGTGAATGGGAAAGACAAAAGATTTAAGTGCCTTTGAATATGGTATGGTGGTAGGTGCCAGGCGCACCAGTTTGAGTGTGTTAAGAACTGCAACGTTGATGGGTTTTTCACAATCAACAGTTTCCCGTGTATCAAGAATGGTCCACCACCCAAAGGGACATCCAGCCAATTTGACATAACTGTGGGAAGCATTGAAGACAACATGGGCCAGCATCCCTGTGGAATGCTTTTGACACCTTGTAGAGTCCATGCCCTGACGAATTGAGGCTGTTCTGAGGGCAAAAGGAGGGGATGCAACTCAATATTAGGAAGGTGTCCCAAATTTTTTATATGGTCAGTGTATATAAAACATAGGGAAATCGCAATTTTGACTGCTCTGGGCCTTTAAAAACAAGCGCAAAAGTGAAGAATTTTTAAGACCCACATAAAGCAGTTTTTAATAACGCAGGTGATAATGGATTTTGTGCGTCATGGCAGCCTATCCTGCCATGACGCACAATGCCCATGGAAGGAGAGATGTGCCTTTTGTGCTGGTGAATCTCATATTTATAAACATAAAAAAATACAATTGGTTTCCCACCATTTTGTTTAATTTGATAAAAAATCAAGCATAGCCTACCCTCCGCTTAGTCAAGTCTGGTTTATCAGCATTGCATAGGTGCATCTTTTCATCCTGGCCATTAGCCAACTTTAGCCTATGAATAAAAGTTTTTTTAATGGTCTACTGAGAGTGCTTTGAAATATTTGGGAGGTTTTTGCCCTCATTGCTTTTTCATTATTCACAATTCCCATACCTGCAGACTTAATTTAGCTTGTTCAAATAGGCTATCCATCCCCATTTACAAAGAGCACTCCTTTCCAAATTACCAAACACACGCACCTCCAAACTATTCAGTCGTCCTATAATGCCATATTAACTCTGGATTCTTTTGAGAATCTGCCTCGCACATAGGCAGCGATACAATAGCGTAGTGAATTTAATCTTGCTTATTGTCCATGTCCAGACTGCAATTTACAGTAGGCCTAGCCCCTATATCAGTAGGAATAGCCTATAGCCTATGTTTAACAATGTATTTCTATATTGAAGCAAAGCAATTAGAACAATGTGGACCGTAAACATGTTTTACGTATTTAGCAAATATGGGGCAGGCTATTTAACGACCTAGGCTATAACGGACAAACATTCGAATTGGAGTTGATGACAACGCAATACATAAAAGACCGTAAATCCTGATAACACATTATTCCATAAAAATCAATCCATCAATTTCTTTTTTCGTCTACAACCACACACTAATGCCCTTTCCCCATGGCAGGAGGCACCAGTCTAAGTCCCCAGTCTAATTCTAGTCATCCACTCAGCAGGTTTTATTCCAGATCTAGTTAATTAAAGCCTTTCTAATGGACCAGAGGCGTCAGTACAGAGTAACTCGACCTGGTCCAGAGTGTGTGTGGCGCGTGTTGAGGATATCAGTGTGTGTTTATAAAAGAAACACTTGATTTAAATAGCATGTGTTTGTGATGACGAGTGGGGAAGGGAAGTGTAGTGGTGTGTCTTCAAGGGTGGCAATTTCTTGGATATTAGGTTGTGGTTGTATGTAGTCTTAACAAGTAAAACATACAGTGCATTTTGAAAGTATTTAGACCCCTTTACTTTTTCCACATTTTGATACGTTACAGCCTTATTCTAAAATGAATTAAATAAGTTAAAATCCTCATCAATCTACACACAATACCCCATAATGACAAAGCGAAAACAGGTTTTTTGACATTTCTGCAAATGTATTAAAAATAAAAAACATAAATACCTTATTTACATAAGTATTCAGACCCTTTGCTATGAGACTCGAAATTGAGCTCAGGTGCATCCTGTTTCCATTGATCATCCTTGAGATGTTTCTACAACTTGATTGGAGTCCACCTGTGGTAAATTCAATTGATTGGACATGATTTGGAAAGGCACACACCTGTCTATATAAGGTCCCAAAGTTGACAGTGCATGTCAGAGCAAAAACCAAGCCATGAGATCGAAGGAATTGTCCGTAGAGCTCCGAGACAGGATTGTGTCGAGGCACAGATCTGGGAAAGGGTACCAAAAAATGTCTGCACCATTGAAGGTCCCCAAGAACACAGTGGACTCCATCATTCTTAAATGGAAGAAATGTCCAACCACAAAGACTCTTCCTAGAGCTGGCTGCCCAGCCAAACTGAGCAATTGGGGGAGAAGGGCCTTGGCCAGGGAGGTGACCAAGAACCTGATGGTTACTCTGACAGAGCTCCAGAGTTCCTCAGTGGAGATGTGAGAACCTTCCAGAAGGACAACCATCTCTGCAGCACTCACCAATCAGGCCTTTATGGTAGAGTGGCCAGACGGAAGCTACTCTTCAGTAAAAGACACATGACAGCCCACTAACGGACTCTCAGACCATGAGAAACAAGATTCTCTGGTCTGATGAAACCAAGATTAAACTCTTTGGCCTGAATGCCAAGCGTCACGTCTGGAGGAAACCTGGCTCCATCCCTATGGTGAAGCATGGTGGTGGCAGCATCATGCTGTGGGGATGTTTTTCAACGGCAGGGACTGGGATCGAGGAAAAGATGAACGGAGCAAAATATAGAGTGATCCTTGATGTAAAGCTGCTCCAGAGCACTCAGGACCTCCGACTGGGGCGAAGGTTCACCTTCCAACAGGACCCTAAGCACACAGCCAAGACAACGCAGGACTGGCTTCGGGACAAGTCTCTGAATGTCCTTGAGTGGCCCAGCCAGAGTCCGGAATCGAACATCTCTGGAGAGACCTGAAAATAGCTGTGCAGCAACATCCCATCCAACCTGACAGAGCTTGAGAGGATATGCAGAGAAGAATGGGAGAAACCCCCCAAATACAAGTATGCCAAGCTTGTAGCGTCATACCCAAGAAGATTCGAGGCGGTAATCACTGCCAAAGGTGCTTCAACAAAGTACTGAGTAAAGTTGTTTTTCAGTTTCTTGCTAACATTTCTAAAACCCTGTTTTTGCTTTGTCATTATGGGGTATTGTGTGTTGATTGATGAGGAAAAAAAAAAAAAAAGAATAAGGTTGTAACTTAACAAATGTGTAAAAAGTCAAGGGGTCTAAATACTTTCCGAATGCACTGTACATGAAAGATACACAAAAATTATCCTAAAGAAACCTTTCTATAGGACGTCTGATGTTGGGCCTCCTCATTGACTGTATTGCCAAATATAATACTGTACTTACAGGTAGTGTCTTAACAACTGCCTCTGTAGCCAACATTTCAACATTTATATGCCTATTTATTTTCACACTGACTCATCATCACACATTGTAAGCCAGCTAGTGCCAGTGACTACTAGGCCTAGAGACGATGAGAGACTATTGACATCGGGAAAAGAATGGCAATCAGCTATCATTTTCTTACTAAATTTTGTGGCGTTTTGGTGTTCAGCAGGTCGCCCCTTTGTCGGTGATTGGTCAACAGTACGGACAGGATGGACGGGATTCTTCAATTAAGTGTTTGTTGTGCCTTTTTTCACTTGAGAAATACTGCACCACAATTCTTAGTTAGATGTAAAATTGTGCATCTAATACTTCCTCAGCAAAAACGTCAAAATTAATTACAGATTTCTTGATTTATCTTCGATTACTTCGGACTATTTTGCTACAGCGCCTCAAGAGGGACAAACATTAATATTGCCACTTTTTCTAATGCGAGGGATTATGCGAGGCAGCCATCCACTTCGCCAAGCCGAGTTCTGCTAGGAGCAAACCGAACCTAGTATGCATGCGCCTTAACAGTGAGAGACACACATGACACTTCCAACTCAAATGTAGCCTCCTACACTTAGGTAAAATTGCCACGGGGATGGGGGGACATGTTGTCGTCGTCCAACTCCTCCTCTTTCTCAATTTCAAACAGAAATGGGGTGTGCTTTGGTGGTTCTTCAATATGTCATTTTGGTAATGTGCGCTGCGACCGACGTAGCTAGTTCGTTAGCTAAGCTAGCCAATTGTAGTTAGCCAGTAACTCCTCCAGTATGTGTTGACGTCGTTTCACAGGATTTGTTTTTGGAAGGAAGCTGAAGAGATGTCACTTCAGTAGCCAAATATCTTATTCATCAATTTATTTGTTTTTAAGCATGGAATAAGTCATGTCAAACTGTGTAGAATTGCAGGAAATTGATTTTAAAATATCCAAAAAAACATCTGTCTACTGTTCGTCCGTCCATCCGTCTGTCCGTCCGAATATAAATCACAATTTCGCACTTGTCAGTGGCCACTGCATGCAAGTCAGATGAGTGTGCTCTTGGGGCACTCATCTGACTTGCATGCAGTGGCCACCGACTGCGGGCACCGGGCGGGGAGACTTTAATACTGATATTCAAGAGCTTATGAAATTAGCTAGTTTGATGTGCAAATCATTTTATTTAAAATTAAAACCAAAAATCAAAAGAGACTCAAATAAATTCAAAATTAAAACATTCCATCGAGCTGACAGGGCACTTTTCCGTAGAAGGGCAAAAGGGCAGGTGCTCGAGGACTGGTTGAGCCCTATCTGTGCACGGTCCTGGTACTATAGGTGGTAGCTAACAACAAAGGGTTAATGGTAGTGTGTTCCTAATGCTCTGCTCAGGTATTTTAAGCATCCATCCACCGGGGGTCGAATGATAGGATGACATCTGTCACCTCACTCTGCAGTGAGACACACACACTCATATAATCACTCACACAGGCACGCACACACACACACACACACTCACAGACACACACAGATACAGGACACTTGGACACTGTGAACTTCCCTTCCTCAGCTATCAGAACTGTTATAAAATCCAGTCAGCTTCAAACTTCATACAGTAGTTTGAACATGATATCATATAAGGGAAAATTAAGTTCATAACTTTTCTAAAGTTACATTTGTACAGGTTATGTCCTGTGTGTGTGTGTGTGTGTGTGTGTGTAGCAGTGTGCGTGAGTGTGTGTGTGTGTGTGTTAGTGTATGAGTGTGTGTATCCTTATAACTCTGCTGTGACCTGATACTGTCAAAACTAAGATCAACAGCTCCAAGTGGACAGGATCTCTCTCTTCTACACTGCTCTGACATCAAAGTCAAATAAGCATAAACTGGATCGACACACTAGTCCTAACAAATACAATGGCCCCATGTCAAGATAAACTAGATCGAATAGGCTGACTGTACTGCATGTTGCACCCAGTTTACTTTTGGGCCTATAATAAATTAGAATATAATCTCTCTCTCTCTCTCTCTCTCTCTCTCGCTCTCTCTCTCTCTCTCTCTCTCTCTCTCTCTCTCTCTCTCTCTCTCTCAGGAGCTGTGTAAGGACCCTCGTCTCTTTGTGGACGGCATCAGCACGCGGGACCTGCACCAAGGCAGTCTGGGTAACTGCTGGATGGTGGCGGCCACTTCATGTCTGGCCTCAGAACCCTCGCTGTGGAAGAAGGTGAGGGGTCAAAGGGCAGAAGCCGAATCTCTGTAGGTCACCTCACTGGTTTACTTCCTGGTCACTGATTTCATTTTCATTTCACTGAGAGGTCTTGATGATAAGTAGCTTATAGCTGAATCCAACATGTTAGCGCTGGGCTGGACCAAAAGCCTACACACCCTGTGACCACTGTAATAACACATTCAATGACCACCACTGAAACCTTCAAAACTCAAATTTATTTTGATTGGTTTAAACCACCAGGTTATTCCTGACCACATGGAGCAGGAGTGGAACCCCAAGCGTCCCGACCTGTATGCCGGAATCTTCCACTTCCGCTTCTGGCGGCTGGGCCGCTGGACAGACGTGGTGGTGGACGACCGCCTGCCGGTCAACGAGGATGGAACGCTGCTCTTCTGCCGCTCAGCCACGCCACGGGAGTTCTGGAGCGCCCTGCTGGAGAAGGCCTACGCCAAGTGAGACTTTACACTATGCTAAAGCCAAGACACAGCTGAGAGATTAGATTTCAGGTTGGCTAAGAGAAAGGTTGTTAATCAGTCAATTAATATCTTATTGTCCCAGTTGCACCTAGTAAATAGTTATCTAATGAATACAGTATACACCACACCTTCAACGTCTCTCCTCATTCTCAACAATTCCGCTCTTTCCCTGTCTTCCAACCTTCTTATTATCCCCTCTCGTTCCCCACCCACTCTTCTCCCCCTCTCCTCTCTCACCCAGGTTGAATGGCTGCTATGAGGCGTTGGAAGGCGGTAACACGGCAGAGGCCCTGATCGACTTCACAGGGGGGGTGTCGGAGCCCCTAAGCCTGGACAGGGAGGCTCTCACCCTGCACCTCGACCAGAGGAGGGCACTGTTCCAGACTCTGGCCAAGGCCCATGGACGCAGAGCCCTCATCACCTGCTCCATACGGGTCAGTGAACAATAGACGTTTCCCTGTTTAACCGCAGATCTAGGATCAGCTTACCCTCCCCAAAACGTAACAGTAAACATGTGTGGGGACATTTTTTTATTGACCTTAGATCAGTGAATTAGTACTAAAAGATCAGCTTGACTGTGGAACTTTAATCCATCACAATACCAGAGACCATTACTGGAGGCCTCAAAATCTAAGCTTGTGCCCACCTGCCCTAGATATTACATGAACATGTGCATGCAGGGTGGTAATGAATGGTTTGGGATTGGGCCAGAGAGCTTCTATGAATGTCATTCTACCAGAGAGGTCACCTCTACATACTGTACCGTACTGGGTCATAGAGAGACAGTTGGCTATATAGTGGCTGTGTTGAGCATAGTCTAGCATTAACAATGTTAACACCAACCTTTACTGTAATATGACAGGAATGACACTGCATGCTCTCTATCCTGGCACGTTCTCTTGTCTTTGACTTCCTTGCTCTCTGCCCTTCCTCTTTCCTGTCCTCACAAACACTCCAGATACATGCCTTTATTGATTTAATGACCTGTATAGTTTATTGTGTAGTTCTAGTATTGTGCATGATTCTTATTCTACAAATCACCTTCATAGAGTGCCTGTATTGTGTATTGATATTAGCGTATTCTATTGTGTATTGTTTTGCATATCTGTATTGAGTCTCTCTCTCTCTCTCTCTCTCTCTCTCTCTCTCTCTCTCTCTCTCTCGCTCCCCATCTGTCTGTCTGTCTCTCTCCCCGTCTGTCTGTCTGTTTCTCTCCCCGTCTGTCTGTCTGTTCTCTCCCCATCTGTCTGTCTGTCTCTCTCCCCGTCTGTCTGTCTGTCTGTCTCTCTCCCCGTCTGTCTGTCTGTCTCTCTCCCCGTCTGTCTGTCTGTCTCTCTCTCTCCCGTCTGTCTGTCTGTCTCTCTGTCTCTCTCTCTGTCTCTCTCTCTGTCTCTCTCTCTCTCTCTCTCTCTCTCTCTCTCTCTCTCTCTCTCTCTCTCTCTCTCTCTCTCTCCCCGTCTGTCTGTCTGTCTCTCTCCCCGTCTGTCTGTCTGTCTGTCTGTCTGTCTGTCTGTCTGTCTGTCTGTCTGTCTGTCTGTCTGTCTGTCTGTCTGTCTGTCTGTCTGTCTGTCTGTCTGTCTGTCTGTCTCTCTCTCTCTCTCTCTCTGTCTCTCATCTCTGTCTCTCGCTCTCTGTCTCTCTCTCTCTGTTTCTCTCTCTGGGTCTCTCTCTCTCTATTTGTCTGTCTCACTTTCTCTGTCTGTCCCAGCCAGCGGACGGGGAGACAGTAGAGTCAGTACTAGAATGTGGTCTGGTGCGGGGCCATGCCTACGGTATCACCGCGGTGAGGAAGGTGCGTCTGGGGGAGTGTTCGCTTCTGGGTGGCTGTGGTGGTCGTCTCTGCATGGTGCGCATGAGGAACCCATGGGGTACAGCCGACTGGACCGGGCCCTGGAGTCAGGGGTGAGGGGGCTACTACTGTACTGTTCATAGGTATAGGTCAAGGTAGCCCCACTTGGGTCATAACAAATGTCAGGATCTGGCTAGAAACATGTTTTTGTCTATTTTGGTTGGCCACAAAATTGGAGGGTCTCATAGCAAACGACACATGAAGGGAACCACTGACACAGAGCTTATTTGCGCCCCCTTCAGGTCTCAACATTGGCAGCAGGTTGGTCGTGGTGAAAGAGAGAAGATGGGCCTCATAGTCAGAGATGTGGGAGAGTTCTGGTAAAGACAAATAGTCAAATAAATGTTACTCTTTTAACAGATAACAACGTAAATGCTCCATGCTTAGCATACGTTACAAATACACTTCAATTCATGCTGAAAAGCTCAATAAATAGTGTTTTTCACCTCTCCTTCTCGCAGGATGGAGTTTGAGGACTTCTGCCGCTACTTCACAGACGTGGTGGTGTGTCGTCTGGTGGAACGAGCCCTGCTGTGGCCCAGAACTCACTGGAGAGAAGTACGCTGCCCTGGGGAGTGGGCTCCAGCCCCTAACACCCCCGGCACCCTCCTCTCTAGCCGCCATGCACCCAACCTGGGGAAGAACACTGCCAAGCCTGGGGGGTTGAACCAGACTCAGAGAGGGGACCGGAAAGAGGCAAGACTGGGGGAGAGACAGAGGGGTGGAGGGGGAGGAGGTAGAGGTGTTCGTGATGGAGGGAAGGAGAAAATGCTTGTTGCGAAAGAGAGGGAGAAGAAGATGAAGAGGAAGGAGGAGGGGGTGAAGAAGGAGGGAGAGGTGGATGGAGGATGGGATGAACAGACTGATAAGAACAGTAGGTGTGGAGGATGCATCAACCACAAAGACACTTTTCTACACAACCCCCAGGTGAGCCTACACTTCAGCTAGGTTTATGCTCATAACAACTGGTTAAATGGTTCCAGGTCGATGTCCCGTTTATCCTATACTCAGAGTATGTTTGGTTATGACTGGGTGGGGGAGAACTGTCTGGTGACTGGGTGGGGGAGAACTGTCTGGTCCTAATTTAGTTGTTACATTCTGACTGTAATGATAAACACATTCTTGATATTCTGAGAAGGACACTCAATATGCTAGTATAGTATCTAAAATCGAATATGCATATATACGACAAGCATGCAAATAGTTTGTGTTGCTGAAATTGTAAGGACTTAATGTGAACTATTTTGGCAACTGCTACAATCGTAATGGCGTGGAAATAGACCTGTGAAAGCCTATTCAGAGTGGTGCATTTGGAAAACAACATGGCTGATACTAAGCTATATTAGTGTTAGTGATTTTTATAACTAAACCAAGATAGGCCACAGCTTGTTGTTTCCAATGGGAACAAATGAGTCATAGTGGGCAGAACAAGCAAGGAGGTGGGCAGAGCCAAGCACACGCTAGCGATATCCTATTGGCACGTTCTAGTATACATCTGCAAATTTCATTGCGCGTGTGCAATAACTCAATTCGCCTTTGCACTCCTTCTAAACAGTGCGATTTTAAAAACGTATGAAAAGAGTAAAGTCTACAAAACCTAGTCCACTCTGTTCATGAAAATCAGAAAGGAAAACGCCGCACACTGCTGCTCATGCTCCCAGGTGATATTTATTTATAACAACGTTTCGACCCTTAGGTTTTCATCAGGCATCCATTTTTTTTCACTTTGTTCATAACAGATTCTAGTTTTGGGAACAGAAAACTGTATTGAGATCAAATGTTTAATCGATGAGAAAATCTGCAGAATGTCGGCCAAAATCCATCTTGTTCCATTGCCTGCCAGTGGGCTTCGTCTCACTACCATATTTGGTAGTGAGTGGAAACGCCAACCAGTTGCTTCACATTTATACATCCAGTGAAATATCTGTCTCATTGTTCTATCTGTGGTGTTACTCTAAAACTGCTATCATAGGACTCTCTTTCTCTCTCTCTCTCTCTTTCTCCCCTTCTCTCTCTACCTCTCTCAGTTCATGTTTGAGGTGCAGGGAAAGGAGGATGAGGTGTTGATCTGTCTGCAGCAGGAGGACAGGAGGATAAAGAGGAAGGATGGAGGAGGAGAGAATCTGCCCATCGGCTTCGAGGTGCTGAGGGTGAGTCACAGGGCTTTAAAAGGGCCATTGTAGAATGTTATAGTACACCCAAGGGGTGTGTGTGTGTATGTGTGTGTGTGCAAATGACCGTGAGTGTGTGTATACTCAATATTTCCTGTGTGTGTTTACCCCGCTATTCATTCACCCTCCACCCTCCACCCCTGAGGGCACACACTTAGTGTGTTGTGAAATCTGCTGTGAATGTATTGTAATGTTTTTAAAATTGTATAACTGCCTTAATTTTGCCGGACCCCAGGAAGAGTAGCTGATGCCTTGGCAGCAGCTAATGGGGATCCATAATGAATACAAATACAAATACAAATCAGGTGGAGGTGAACCGGCTAAGCCGTGTGCAGTGTGTGGTGGAGCAGGCAGCGAGCTCTGTGTACATGGACTCCCGTAGTGTGGCCCTGCGAGTGACCCTGGGCCCCGGCCGCTACGCCCTCCTCCCCACCACCTTCCAGCCTGGGGCCACCGGACGCTTCCTGATACGCCTCTTCTCACATTCCCACCTCAGACTCAGGTTAGGGGCAGGAAGGGGGAATGGTGTGAATGTTAGAAATGAAGGAATGGTGTGAATGTTAGGAATGAAGGAATAGTGTGAATGTTAGGAATGAATGAATGGCGTGAATGTTAGGAATGAAGGAATGGCATGTATCTTAGGAATGAAGGAATGGAATGTATCTTAGGAATGAAGTAATGGAATGTATCTTAGGAATGAAGGAATGGAATGTATCTTAGGAATGAAGGAATGGAATGTATCTTAGGAATGAAGGAATGGAATGTTTATTAAGAATGAAGGAATGGCATGTTTCTTAAGAATGAAGGAATGGCATGTATCTTAGGAATGAAGGAATGGAATGTATCTTAGGAATGAAGGAATGGAATGTATCTTAGGAATGAAGGAATGGAATGTATCTTAGGAATGAAGGAATGGAATGTATCTGAATGGAATGTATCTTAGGAATGAAGGAATGGAATGTATCTTAGGAATGAAGGAATGGAATGTATCTTAGGAATGAAGGAATGGAATGTATCTTGAATGGAATGATAGGCATGAAGAATGTCAAGTGTTTGTGAAGACTGGAGTTTCTTTAGCATTTAAGGCAATGTCAATGACTGGATAAGGTCATTGAATTGTATCGATGTCTCCTCTTTTGCATTTATACATTAGTTAACAGTGTATTAATCATGATTTAATCTGTCTCCCTGCCCTCTCTCCTACTCTCATCCCTGTACATTCTCTTCTCTCCCATCCTCTCTTCTTCTCTCCTCTCTCCATCCCTTCTCTCTCTCTCTCCCCATCCCTGTCTCTCTCTCTCCTCTCACATCCCCTGTCTCTCTCTCTCTCCCCCATCCTGTCTCTCTCTCTCTCTCTCCATCCCTGTCTCTCTCTCTCTCTCCCCATCCCTGTCTCTCTCTCTCTCTCTCCATCCCTGTCTCTCTCTCTCCCCATCCCTGTCTCTCTCTCTCCCCATCCCTGTCTCTCTCTCTCTCTCTCCATCCCTGTCTCTCTCTCTCTCTCCATCCCTGTCTCTCTCTCTCTCCCCATCCCTGTCTCTCTCTCTCTCCCCATCCCTGTCTCTCTCTCTCTCCCCATCCCTGTCTCTCTCTCTCTCCCCACCCCGTCTCTCTCTCTCTCTGCCTTCTCTTAGTGAGTTGAGAGAGGAGTTGCCTGCTCCCTCACTGTGGCAGTGTTGTCTTCCCCAGCCCAGTATAGTGACCACCGTCCACCTACGTCGAGCATCTGGACTCAGCCAGCCTAAACAGACCGGTATATACTGTATGACATCACTGTGGCATTACGAAATAACATTATCATAACATACATGATCAATGTCATAACATACATTATAAACATACATGCTCAATATCATAACATACATTATAAACATACATGATCAATATCATAACATACATTAAAAACATACATTATCAGAAAATACATTACCATCATACGGAATGGTGGCTTTTACCAACAACTGACCACATCTAGTCTCATTGTATACAAACCTCGATATCTATCTTTTACAAGACTACCTAGACCACAAAGTGAGACTAATTGTATATGTATTGTGTCTGTCTTTGTGTTGTGTAGCACCAGATGTGTATGCTGTGATCTGGTGTGAGGATGACACCATAAGAACACATGTGTTCAAGGAGGATGGAAACCCAGAGTTCAATATGAGGGCCATTTTCTACAGGAGATACCCAGACGCACATATTAGCATTGAGGTTAGAAATATACACATCTCTGTGACACAAACACAGACACATCAGTTAGATACACACACACACACAGCACACTGTGGTTGATACAGTAATTGAAGTATTATGATTCAAGTTATATTCAGGGGCGTAATATTTGCTTTTCTTTGGGTGTGTGTACGTGTGTGTATGCTTGCATGTGTGTGTGTGTGTGTGTGTTTAGTTGTGGAGCCGTGGTCTACTGTGGGACACACTACTGGGCAGGGCTCGCCTCCAGACTAGCGACAGCGAGAAGGGGAGGAGCCGAGTGATTGATCTGCAGGGTGGCCAATCACGGTCAGGATCCAGGGGCTGTATCTATGTGGAGACCTCATCCAGCAAATGCCTAACAGACTTATAACTGACAGCTGTGGCTTGTTCCACCCACGATACAACCATGCAATCAATGTTTTTTTGGAAGAGGCTGCAGATTTGGACGAAGATGGTACCGGTTCAATAGCTTTATCCATTTGGGGTAAAACAATTAATAAATTGGGACTACCATAAATAACAATGTCAAATACCTCTTTGATTTAACTTAATGCATATACACTGAACAAAAATATAAAAGCAACATGTAAAGTGTTGATTCCATGTTTCATGAGCTAAAATAAAATATCCCAGAAATTTTCCATACGCACAAAAAGCGTATTTCTCTCAAATTATGTGCACAAAATTGTTTACACGATGTTAGTGAGCATTTCTTCTTTGCCAAGATAATCCATCCACATGACAGGTGTGGCATGATCATTACACAGGTGCACCTTGTGCTGGGGACAATAAAAGGCCACTCTAAAATGTGCAATTTTGTCACACAACACAATGCCACATATGTCTCAAGTTGAGGGAGCCTGCCACTGGCATGCTGACTGCAGGAATGTCCACCAGAGCTGTTGCCAGATAATTTAATGTTAATTTCTCTACCACAAGTCGCCTCCAACGTCATTTTAGAGAATTTGGCAGTGCGTCCAACCGGTCTCACAACTTGTGTGGGCAAGTGGTTTGCTGATGTCAACGTTGTGAACAGAGTGCCTCATGGTGGCAGTGGGGTTATGGTATGGGCAGGTATAAGCTACGGACAAAAAAACACAATTGCTTTTTATCTATGGCAATTTTAATGCACGGAGATACCATGACGAGATCCTGAGGCCCATTGTCGTGCCATTCATCCGCTGCCATTTCTCATGTGATCTGTACACAATTCCTGGAAGCTGAAAATGTCCCAGTTCTTCCATGGCCTGCATACTCACCAGACATGTCATCCATTGAGCATATTTGGGATGCTCTGGATCTAAGTGTACGACAGTGTGTTCCTGTTCCCGCCAATATCCAGCAACTTCGCACAGCCATTGAAGAGGAGTGGGTCAACATTCCACAGGTCACAATCCACAGCCTGATCAACTCTATGCAAAGAAGATGTGTCGCGCTTTATGAGGCAAATGGTGGTCACACCAGATACTGATTGGTTTTCTGATCCACGCCCATACCTTTTTTTAAAGGTATCTGTGACCAACAGATGCATAGCTGTATTCCCAGTCATGTGAAATCCATAGATTCGGGCCTAATGAATTGATTTCAATTGACTGATTTCCTTATATGAACTGTAACTCAGTAAAATCTTTTAAATCGTTGCATGTTGCATTCATATTTTGTTCAGTATAGTTATGAGACCTCTGAGCACTACTGAGTAAAGGGGAATAATTTGGAACACAAAAGCACAGTGATCAGTTTGTTGTTCACCACTAGTGCAGTGGTTAATGTGTAAAATACATGCCCTGGTTTTACATCTCTGCTGGTCAGACCATGTAGGGCACAGCATTATCCTAAACAAAATAATCAAATTGTGACACATTATTGGTTCTGGACACTTACCAGCTGCCAAGGTTATCTGAAGTTGTGTACATAATAAGTAGGCTGAATCCCTTTTAATGACTTTAGGGGAAAAAATGTGTGCTATCGTTAAAATGTTATCTTCTTTCTTTTTTCTCATGCAGGTAAGCACGATAGGTATTCTCAAAATATGTAAATATATTATTTTGGCTTTGGCACTGGCTCTTCTTACTGGCAGATGTATCAGCACATACTTTAATAACCAACAGGAAACAGTTTGTCACAAGACGAAGCACGAAAGTAAGTCGCACAAAATCAAATGACAGTGGATTTATGTTTTTGTTAATGAATCTGCTTGTGAAATATGGACTGTTTTGTGTGTATTATTGTAATGGATTCTCCCCAATTTCGTGATATCCAATTGCGATCCAATCACGATTTTGTCTCATCGCTGCAACTCCCCAACGGGAGAGGCGAAGGTCGAGTCATGCGTCCTCCGAAACATGACCCCCCCAATCCACGGTCCTTAACACCTGCCCGCTTAACCCGGAAGCCAGCTGCCCCACTGTTCAACTGACGACCAAAGTCAGCCTGCAGGCGCCCGGCCCGCCACAAGGAGTCGCTAGCGCGCGATGAGCCAAGTAAAGCCCCCCCGGCCAAACCCTCCCCTAACCCGGGCGACGCTAGGCCAATTGTGCGCCGCCCTATAGGCCCTGTTATAGTGTTCTTAACTATGTAGTAATTCATGTTCTTAACTTTATCTTTTGAAAATAAACACATAAAAATATTCTGGGGATGAGCATGCGCATCTTCAATTCAATATGTACTCATTGTTCCTCTTTAATGTATTTTAACTATATTGCAAGTAAAAGCCTTGGGCAGCGAGTTGATACAATTCCAAGTCTGGACGGTTAAAACCGCCATCAGACTTAGGAAGATGTAAAATGTTCCTTTTTATTCTATGATTTTTATTTGGCCATATAAAGTCTGTTATGACCGAGTATACTTTTTTAAAGAAAGTCTTCGGTGGGGTAATTGGTATTACCGAAAATAGAAAAACTTTGGGAGCCATGCCATTCTGAAGAGGTTTATTCTACCTGTAAGATTTATGGGAAGATTATTCAATTTAATTAAATCTGCTTTCATGTTTGTTGTCACAATTTTTGTAGTCCAATTAAAGGATTATGATGACATCATTTTGTGACGTTTTGGTTTGTTTTGGTCTTCAGCAAGAGATTTGTTGGCTGTTCATGCACACAATTCTTTGTTGTTGAGGCAAGCCGAAGTTCAGGAGCCAAAGTCTACGCCCCTTCGTCAGTCATTGGCCAACAGTAGGGATTTTTTAATAAAGTGTTTGTTGACATTCAACAATAAACAGTTTTTCATGCACATTTTTCACTAGAGAAATACTGCACTAAACATCGTATTTACAGTGGCTTGTGAAAGTATTCACCCCCCTTGGCATTTTTCCTATTTTGTTGCCTTACAACCTGGAATTAAAATTGATTTATGGGGGGGGTTGTATCGTTTTATTTACACAACATGCCTACCACTTTTTTAATCAAACCAAAAATCTGACAAAAAAACAGAAAACTTGAGCGTGCATAACTATTCACCTATTTCCCTGTATTTAGCGCCATCCATCATTCCTTCAATTCTGATCAGTTTCCCACTATGAAACATCAGCATCATACTGTGGGGATGTTTTTCATGGATGGTGTTCTCGGGCCAATGAGAGGTGTTGGGTTTGCGCCAGACATAGCGTTTTCCTTGATGGCCAAAAAGCTACATTTTTGTCTCATCTGACCAGAGTACCTTCTTCCATATGTTTGGGGAGTCTCCCACATGGCTTCTGGTGAACACAGGTGCCTCACAGGTCCTCAACTGGCAGCTTAATTAAATAGTACCCGCAAAACACCAGTCTCAACGTCAACAGTGAAGAGGCGACTCCGGGATGCTGACCTTCTAGGTAGAGTTGCAAAGAAAAAGCCATATCTCAGACTGCCATCTTAATCTTTTCTTTTTATTAGCCAGTCTGAGATATGGCTTTTTCTTTGCAACTCTGCCTAGAAGGTCAGCATCCCGGAGTCGCCTCTTCACTGTTGACGTTGAGACTGGTGTTTTGCAGGTACTATTTAATAAAGCTGCCAGTTGAGGACCTGTGAGGTGTCTGTTTTTCAAACTAGACACTCTAATGTATTTGTGCTCTTGATCATTTGTACACTGGGGCCTCCTACTCCTCTTTCTATTCTGTTTAGAGCCAGTTTGTGCTGTTCTGTGAAGGGAGTAGTACACAGCGTAGTACGAGATTTTCAGTTTCTTGGCAATTTCTCGCATGGAATAGCCTTCATTTCTCAATAGTTTCAGAAGAAAGTTATTTGTTTCTGGCCATTTTTTGCCTGTAATCAAACCCACAATTGCTGATGCTCCAGATACTCAACTAGTCTCAAGAAGGCCAGTTTTCATCTGTGCTAACATAATTGCAAAAGGGTTTGCTAATGATCAATTAGCCTTTTAAAATTATACATTTGGATTAGCAAACACAGGACTGATGGTTGCTGATAATGAGCCTCTGTACGCATGATATGATGTTTTTATGGTGTAATGATGTCATGTCAAAGTATCGTGGGGAACAGGATAGAGTTACTAGATAAGTGGTTAGGAGACAGAAAGTCTACATTCCATTATGTCAAAGGAGATTACTGATGTTTAGGGTAGTATGAGTGATGTACAGGATATAATGACCTGGGGCAAAAGGTAATAACAACAGAGAAAGGGAGTGCTATGATGGTTGCCAGATGTATGTGAAAGGGAGTATAACCAAGAGTATAAAGGAGGTTAGATTTGTATGTGTGGGCAGTTCAACTGACAAAGGGCAAATCCATGTCCGTTTGTTAAATGAACCCACGAGCTCGTGATCCAATAAATACTTGGTATAAAATCTCCACAGAATGTCTAAGTAAATTCTTGCATCTTGAACTTCTCAATACCAGAAACTCATCATAACAACACCTATGTAGATATTCCATAACAAATCTGCAATTTCCAGCTACAATAGCCATTTACAACATTAACAATGTCAACACTATATGTCTGATGAATTTGATGTTATTTTAATGGACAAAAAAATTGCTTTTCTTTTGAAAATAAGGACATTTCTAAGTGTCCCCAAACTTTTGAACGATAGTGTATGTGAAAATGTTGTCTATCGTTAGTAGTAGTGTCGTATCGGATGAATGGTGGCAATTATTGCTGATAAACAAAGGAGTCCGCTCATACTGAATCCTCGATCATAAGTTTATTCAGATCACAAGCTTTCAGCATGAGTGACAGATGTCATGACATCCGGAGAACGGCGCCTCAGATTGGAATGGCCGTTCTGCCCTTTCATCGTTTAACCCCTACTTATAAACAATGCAAAAAGATGGGCTCCCTCTTCTGGCCAATCACCAGTCTCCCCTGTCTACAACACACTTCCTGTCTGTTGTATGTGACGTTACACTAAAACGTTCCCTCTTGATACTAAAATCA